AGGCCCTCCTCCTGCCGCCTGGAAAGGAAGCCCACAGGCACCCTTAAGGTTCTGTGTTTCGCTCCTCTAACCCAGCCCTGGGCTCCCCCCGCCATGTGTTCTGGTACCCCACCCAACAGACACCTCCCCATGCCTCTGTTCCCAGTGGCCTTTCCCTGCGTCCGGCGACTCTCACTCCCTTGGGCCACAGCAATAAACAAGGCAGAGGAGCCACTACTTGTTTTTGTTTGTTTTGTTCTTGTTTTGTTTTTTGAGACAGAGTCTAGCTCTGTCGCCCAGGTTGGAGTGCAGTGGTGCAATTTTGGCTCGCTGCAACTTCTGCCTCCTGGGTTCAAGTGATTCTCCTGCCTCAGCCTCCTAAGTAGCTGGGACTATGGCGCCTGCCACCACGCCTGGCTAATTTTTGTATTTTTAGTAAAACGGAGTTTCACTGTGTTGGCCAGGCTGGTCTCAAACTCCTGACCTCAGGATCCACCTGCCTTGGCTTCCCAAAGTGCTGGGATTACAAGCGTGAGCCACCACGCCCAGCCGGGTTTTTGTTTTGTTTTGTTTTGTTTTGTTTTTGAGAAGGAGCCTTCCTCTGTTGCCCAGGCTGAGGTGCAGTGGCGCCATCTCTGCTTACTGCGGCCTCTGCCTCCTGGGTTCAAGCGATTCTACTATCTCAGCCTCTAGAGTAGCTGAGACTACAGGCGCCCGCCACCATGCCCAGCTAATTTTTGTATTTTTAGTAGAGATGGGGTTTCGTCATGTTGGCCAGGCTGGTCTTGAACTCCTGACCTCAGGTGATCCGCCCGCCTTGGCCTCCCAAAGTGCTGCGATTATAGGTGTGAGGCACTGCAGCTGCTAGCCCACTCCTGGGATTTAAGCTCAGAAAATGGCAGCACATGGAATTTACTGTGCTGCAGGGAGTTTTTTTCGTTGTACACCATTGCAGTTTTCAGATTTACCATGCTGTTACAGCTCTACTTCTACTTCTGTTTTCTTTTTCTTTACTTTTCTTTTTTTCTTGAGAAGGAGTTTCGCTCTTATTGCCCAGGCTGGAGTGCAGTGGCGTGATCTTGGCTCACCACAACCCCTGCCTCCCAGGTTCAAGCAATTCTCCTGCCTCAGCCTCCCTAGTAGCTGGGATTACAGGCATGTGCCACCATGCCCGACTAATTTTGTGTTTTTAATAGAGACGGGGTTTCTCCATGTTGGTCAGGCTGGTCTCGAACTCCTGATCTCAGGTGATCCGCCCGCCTCAGCCTCTCAAAGTGCTGGGATTACAGGCGTGAGCCACCGTGCCCGGCCTCTACTTCTATTTTCTGTCACAGGGACTTCCATCCCAGCACAGACCTTCATTGATGAATTTCTGCAGTTCCCCCTGCAGAAGCTCCCTGGGCCACCTCCAGGGGGCATCCTGGACCCTCCCCAGACTGGCTGGAGTCCCCCCAGGGGTCCAGAGACGCCCACGTCCTCTTAGCCAGGAGTGGGTGGCAGCACCAAGGGACCCTGATGGGGCCTGGCTCTGGCCCATGTCGTGCTGCACTACCCGCCCACCAAACACTCCAGGCAGCTCTCAAGGACAAGGGGCCCCAGGGGAGCGCGGCGGGGACAGCTTCTTGCAGAGCCTCTGGTCCCGGGGGTCCTCCAATTGGCACAGACAGCTCCATCTGCATCCCCCATTCTGCCCCCGTCACGGTGTTTTCCTGACAGGCTGGGGGTGGTCAGCCTCTGGCGCAGCAAGGATAGATCCTAGCCACAGCAATCATTGAGTGCCTTCTGGGTACCAGGCACGGTTCAGCTCCCAGACCCACCACTGGATTACCAACGCCGACGAGATGATGAAGTGGCCACTGTTTTCACCCCCAGTTTACAGATAAGGAAACTGAGGCAGGAGGGGCTGAGGCCCTTATCCTCTTCCCCTCAGCTGGGACTATCAAGCAGGGCTGGCATCTCACCACTTCAATGTGGCCTTTGTGGGGAGGGCTGCTGCTTTCAAACCTTCTCAGACTCACCACACCCGCCGGGGACCCTCACGCTTCAGGAGCAGGAGTCGGGCTCTGCCCCAGACCTTCTGTTTTGTTTGTTTGTTTGTTTTTTGAGATGGAGTCTTGCTCTGTTGCCCAGGCTGGAGTATAGTGGTCCCATCTTGGCTCACTGCAACCTCTGCCTCCCAGGTTCAAGTGATCCTCCTCCCTCAGCCTCAGTCCCAGAGTAGCTGGGACTACAGGCGTGTGCCACCACGCCCCGCTAAGTTTTTTTTGTTTTTGTTTTTGTTTTTTTGAGATGGAGTCTCACTTTGTCACCCAGGCTGGAGTGCGATGGCACAGTCTTGGCTCACTGCAACCTCTGCCTCCCAGGATCAAGCAATTCTCCCGCCTCAGCCTCCTGAGTAGCTGGGACTACAGGCGTGTGCCACCACACCCGGATAATTTTTATATTTTTAGTAGAGATGGGGTTTCACTATGTTGGTCAAGCTGGTCTGAAACTCTTGACTTCTTGACATGCCCACCTCGGCCTCCCAAAGTGCTGGGATTACAGGCGTGAGCCACCGCGCCCGGCAAGTTTTGTATTTTTGTTGTTGTTGTTGTTGAGACAGAGTCTCGCTTTGTCGCCCAGACTGGAGTGCAGTGGCCGGATCTCAGCTCACTGCAAGCTCCGCCTCCCGGGTTCACGCCATTCTCCTGCCTCAGCCTCCCGAGTAGCTGGGACTACAGGCGTCCGCCACCTCGCCCGGCTAGTTTTTGTATTTTTTAGTAGAGACGGGGTTTCACCGTGGTAGCCAGGATGGTCTCGATCTCCTGACCTCGTGATCCGCCCGTCTCGGCCTCCCAAAGTGCTGGGATTACAGGCTTGAGCCACCGCGCCCGGCCAAGTTTTGTATTTTTAATGGAGATGGGGTTTCTCCATCTGCATTAGACCAGCCATGTTGGACCGGCTGGTCTTGAACTCCTGGCCTCAAGCAATCCACCCACCTCGGCCTCCTAAAGTGCTGGGATTACAGGCATGAGCCACCGTGCCCAGCCTGCCCCAGCCCTTCTGTGCCTCTCTGGGCAGGGGTAGCCTGTTCCCCCAAGCTGAGGCTCTTGGGCTCAGGGGCTAGGATATATCTAACCTCCACCATTTACCCAACATGATCTGGGGCAGGTCAGTTCTCCCTGGGCCTCAGTTCGCTAGTTAGTGAGTGGAGTCAATTAATAGTTTCACTCATGGAATTGTCTGGAGGTCAAGATGAGATAGTTTATCATGACCCAAAACGAGATCCCTGATGTCTGGGACCCGGGGCTGCCCCGTGACTGGCATGATTGCTGGGGGAGCGCTGGATTCACCCTTGCTGGGAGGTCAGGAAAGAGTGTGTCAGGCTCTGCCCTCTGAGAGGGGGCTGTTAAGCCCATGTGGGCACAGAAGTATATTCTGAGGGATTGTCTGGCCCTGTGCCTTTTTTTTTTTTTTTTTTTTTTTGAGACGGAGTCTCGCTCTGTCGCCCAAGCTGGAGTGCAGTGGCTGGATCTCAGCTCACTGCAAGCTCTGCCGCCCGAGTTTACACCATTCTCCTGCCTCAGCCTCCTGAGTAGCTGGGACTACAGGCACCTGCCACCTCGCCCACCTAGTTTTTTGTATTTTTTAGTAGAGACGGGGTTTCACCGTGTTAGCCAGGATGGTCTTGATCTCCTGACCTTGTGATCCGCCCATCTCGGCCTCCCAAAGTGCTGGGATTACAGGCTTGAGCCACCGCGCCCGGCCTTTTTTTTTTTTTTTTTAGATGGAGTTTCATCTGGTTGCCAAGACTGGAGTTCTATGGCGCGATCTCAGCTCACTGCAACCTCCGCCTCCTGGGTTCAAGCGATTCTCCTGCCTTAGCCTCTCAAGTAGCTGGGATTACAGGTGCCTGCCACCACACCCAGCTAATTTTTTGTATTTTTCGTAGAGATGGGGTTTCACCATGTTGGCAAGGCTGGTCTTGAATTCCTGACCTCAGGTGATCCGCCCACCTCGGCTTCCCAAATTGCTGGGATTACAGGCGTGACCTACCGCACCCGGCCAAGGACCTGGGCCATTTAAGTGGAGTCCTGAAGGATGAGTAGGTGTTAGCCAGGCTGAGAAGGAGGGAATGATGCTCTAGGCACAGACGCACAGAGGCAGGCAAAGTTTTGGTTTAGACAAAAATTGAGACTCGCTGGATAAAGTGATCTTAGGGGACCATCACCAGAGAGGAGACATTGGAAGTCTGCAAGGCCTTGTCCTGCCCCTCCAGGGCTAGAGGTTCAAGGAGGGGCTGACTCTTTTTCCTGGAGGCCTCGCAGAACCACAGACCCCAGGAATGGCTTGGTGTGGCCAATGTGAGGCTTCTAAGCCTCTGTCTAGCTCCGCCGGGAGACAGGTTGGTGGGGAAAAGCTGGGGGTGGCAGTGGACAGGACAGAGTGTGGGGACAGCTTTGGGAGCCGTGCTAGGCAAGGACAAGGGACAACTCTTGTGTGGAGTCACCCAGAGGGGTCTTGAATGGTGCTGAAGGCCCCGACAGCCCCCCTGCGATAGCCACTGTAGCTCTGCCTGTACCTGGGCCTTCGCTCTGTTGTTGTCCCACCCGCAGGAGTCTGGCTAAAGGGGCATCCCTCAGCCCTACTCCCTCATCAGTGTTCCCAGTACCCTCTCCCTGGCACTTCCACTCCTGGGGGAGGAGGCTGAGCAGGGAGAGAATGGAACGTGTTCCCCCAGAGGAGCACAGTTCCAGCCAGCGGCCCACTCAGTGAGGTGCTCAGGTACCCACGTCCCCACCAGCTGCCAGGGTTCCCTCTCCTCCCTCCCGTCCCTCCTCCCATCTGTGGAGCCCAGCAGTACTGCGGGGGCGGAACAAGGCGGGGCCACGAACGGTTATAGCTGGGCTCGCAAGGGGACCCACGGATCGCCTCCAGCCTCCTGCGCTCCGGTACCTGGGCGTCCCGACTCCACTGCGCGCCCAAACCCAGCTGAGCCGGTTCGTGGCCCGCCCCCCCGGGCGGCCGTCGACGCGAGCACCCTGGCGCGGGGCCCGGGGAAGCGGGGGGCTCCCGCGAGCCGGCCGCGGCTGGCATTGCCGCTGCTCCTGTTCCTGTTGCCGCTGCCCGCCGGCGCGTGGTACAAGCAAGTGGCGAGTCCCCGCTACCACACGGTGGGCCGCGCCGCTGGCCTGCTCATGGGGCTGCGCCGCTCACCCTACATGTGGCGCCGCGCGCTGCGCGCGGCCGCCGGCCCCCTGACCGGGGACACCCTCTCCCCCGGACCCGCTGCCCGCGAGGCTCCTCTCCTGCTGCCCTCGTGGGTTCAGGAGCTGTGGGAGACGCGACGCAGGAGCTCCGAGGCAGGGATCCCTGTCCGTGCGCCCCGGAGCCCGCGCGCCCCGGAGTCTGCGCTGGAACTGGTGTCCCTGGACTTCAGCGGAGCCAGCCAGGTACGTGAGAGGGAAGGAGGCCTGGACCGCCGCAGGCAAAGGGGTCTCAGGAGGTCTGAGCCGCAGCACAGAGCCATGTGTTCAGGGGGCACCCTCGGGCCCTTCCATCCCCCGCTCCGCACCCAGAAAAGTTTTCCCTGGGCAGGCTCGACCCTGGCACCCGGGGGTGGCAGTGGAGGGCCACAGCCTCCTCCCCACGGCCTTGCTCTGTTCTCGCTAGCGACTTCCGAGAGACGTCTCCCGCCCCGCCGTGGTCCCCGCCGCAAACCGCCTTGGCCGGCCCCGCCTGGCCCCCGGACCGTCCTGATAGCGTTCCCCCGCCTGCGGCGCCTCCGCGCCTGACCCAGGAGGAGTCTCCGCAGCTTCCAGGAGCCGCTCACAGCCCTGGCCTGCCGTCCGGTCAATAAAATCCGCCTGACTCCTGCGCCCCCGCGTGCGACCCCTTCGTCTGCCTGTGTACTTTGCCGTCTAGCTCAGGGCGCAGACAGGCGCGCCCACGCCCTGGCAAATGTCATGGGCCCCTCCCTCGCCGACCAGGGGAAGCGCCGGGCACTCAGCATTCATTTCAAACCTGAATGTCCTGGCACCCCCTTTCTCCCTTAGCCAAAGTCTTCCGCAGAGGATTAAGAACCTCTGGTCCCCTTCTTCTGGGTCATGCCCATGGAGGAGGGGCCCCTCCACCTGAGCCCCACCTTGCTGCTTGCTTTTTTTTTTTATTTTTTTGAGACGGAGTCTCCCTTTGTTGCCCAGGCTGGAGTGCAATGGCGAGATTTTGACTTACTGCAACCTCCACCTCCACAGGTTCAAGCGATTCTCCCACCTCAGCCTCCTGAGTAGCTGGTACTACAGGCACCCACCATGATGCCCAGCTAAGTTTTGTATTTTTGTAGAGACGGGGTTTCACCATGTTGGCTGGACTGGTCTTGAACTCCTGACCTCAGGTGATCCGCCCACCTCGGCCTCCCAAAGTGCTGGGATTATGGGCATGAGCCACCGTGCCCGGCTGCTCCTTTACCTTTTATCCCTCTCTGCATGCCCTTCTGGTCACTGGCTCCAGCCCCCCCACATACATGTGCCCTGCCATCTTGAATACCGAGGACCTCCGTCCACCAGGCCCCCTCCAGTTCCTCTCCCAAGGGTCTGGGCCCCTCCTCCCTCACTCTCCTTCTTCAACCCTCTCTAATCTGCCCTGGGACTCCAACGACTGTCCTGGACCCCAAACCACCAAGGTCACATGCACTGATGCAGCCCACCCTTGGAACCCTCCTGTAGCCATGTGGCAGGGTCCCCCCTTGGGGCCACCCAGCAAGGATTGGGGGAGGGGTGGTCCTGGGCCTGGCTTTAGGATGCCCCTGTGGAACCAGCCCCCCACCCCTGCTCCTGGAAGCCCCGCCTCCCCTCGCTGGTAGGTCCTTTCCATCTCCAAGGTGTGTCCTTCTCCCAAATGTGGGTGCTCTTTTTATCTCCACCCCTTCAATTCTTTTTCTTTTTTTTTCCGAGACAGAGTCTCCAGCCCATGCTGAAGAGGCACTATCTCGGCTCACTGCAACCACCGCCTCCCTGCCTCCCCGGCTTAGATGATTCTCCTGCCTCAGCCTCCCCAGTAGCTGAGATTGCAGGTGCCCACTACCAAGCCTAGCTAATTTTTGTATTTTTTAAAATAGAGGCCGGGCGCGGTGGCTCAAGCCTGTAATCCCAGCACTTTGGGAGGCCGAGACGGGCGGATCACGAGGTCAGGAGATCGAGACCATCCTGGTTAACACGGTGAAACCCCGTCTCTACTAAAAAATACAAAAAATTAGCCGGGCGCGGTGGTGGGCGCCTGTAGTCCCAGCTACTCAGGAGGCTGAGGCAGGAGAATGGCGTGAACCCGGGAGGCGGAGCTTGCAGTGAGCTGAGATCCGGCCACTGCACTCCAGCCCGGGCGACAGAGCGAGACTCTGTCTCAAAAAAAAAATAAATAAATAAATAAATAAAATAAAATAAAAATAAAATAAAATAGAGATGGAATTTTGCCATGTTGGCCAGGCTGGTCTTGAACTCCTGACCTCAGGGGATCCGCCCACCTCGTCCTCCTAAAGTGCTGAGATTACAGGCGTGAGCCACGGCACCTGGTCCACCAGCCAATTGTTTTGTTTTTTGTTTTTTGTTTTTGTTTTTGTTTGAGACAGAGTTTCCCTCTTGCTGCCCAGGCTGGAGCGCAATGGCGCGATCTTGGCTCGCCACAACCTCTGCCTCCTGGGTTCAAGCCATTCTCCTGCCTCAGCCTGTAGCTGGGATTACAGTCATGCACCTCCACGCCCGCCTAATTTTGTATTTTCAGTAGAGACAGCATTTCTTCATGTTGGTCAAACTGGTCTCGAACTCCCGATCTCAGGTGATCCTCCCGCCTCGGCCCCCCAAAGTGCTGGAATTACAGGCGTGAGCCTCACCAGCCAATTCTTACATGGAGCCCTTGGTTCCATCTAGGCCTCCCTCCGGCTCTGTGCTGGGTGAAGAGGTGGTCACACACCTCACAGGACAACTCATTCCTTCCCAGTCCTGGCCCTGTTCCTCACTGAACCTGACCTCTAAGAACATGGATGTCCTGACCTTGTCACCCCCACACCACGCCTCAAGGGCTCCCCACTGCCTATGGGATGATACCCGTGCCGTGTCTGCTCTCACCGCCCCTCCCACTGCCTCCTCCCCTTCCCCACCGTCTGCTCCAGACTGCAGATTCTAGGACAGCCCGGGACCTCCCTCCCCGAAGGAGGACTCCAGGGCCCCAGGCTGTGTTAAATGTTCTTCCTGGAGCTGCTTCAGCTCTGGCCTTCCCTTGCAAACGCCAAGGTGCTCAAAGCCCTGTTTTTGCGGGGACGGGGGGAGGTTTCAGTCATGTTCCCTGGTGCTTGCCTGGTCCAAGATGGGGAGGCAGAGCCGATGAGGGGCTTCTCTGCCTCCCCAGCTCCACACCCTTATTCCCCTGCAGCGCAACCAGCCCTAGGGCGCCAGCCTCACCCCAGTCCCCACCCCACAGGACTGGATCGAGTGGAAGCCAGATGGGCAGGATGCTGGGGCAACTCCTCGGACGATGCAATGCGACCAGTTCCGACCAGGTGGCGCTGCGCGGCTACCGTTCTGGGCGGTAGCCTCCGCCCCGCGCCTCCAGCAATGGGCGGGCCGCAGTGGGCGGGGCCACAGCGGGTGGGCGGGGCCGCCCCGTCGGCGGCAGCGGTTTCCTGCCCCTCCCTCCCTCTTGGGTCGTCGCAGTCCCCACCTTCCCTCTCCTCCTCTCTGGGTCTCTGTTGGTCACCTCCTTCTGTCGCGCTGGCCCCGCCTGCTCCAGTTTCGGAATCTGAAGAGAGGCACGGTGCAGCCTGAGGGAAGAGGCCCTAGGCGCGGTCTGGTTATGCTTGCAGGACCATTAATGTCCATCAGAAAGCAGCGCCTACCTGAGCAGCTCTGAACCATTACCGGGCGTCGGAATAGTGGTCCCACCCCCAGACAGGGCTCCAGGCCACGGCCACATCCCAGAGCCTCTGTCCAGGCCCAGGCTCGGGCTCCCTGAGATCGCTGGGACCTTGCTGGAGGGATGCGGGTTCAAGGCCTGGAGGAAAGGTCCTGCAGAAACAGGAGTGCAGGGGCGCCCCCACCCCGGTGAACCCCCCACCGACAGCCCAGGGGAACAGCTGAGACCGCTCCCTCTGCTGGATAGGACTCACGCCTGGGTAGCATGCTGGCAGGCGTGGGGAAAGGGGGTTGGGTGGAGAGTGGGGAATCCCCCAAGCCTCTGATTGCCCCTGACTTGACTTTCTTCCCCCCTGCTGCTGCCCTGGGAACCCACATCACCCCATCTGCACTCCGCAGAAGCAGCAAAATAAAGTCCACCCTCCTCTTGATGCCCACTCTACTGCCTCCCGCCCACTTCCCTAGCCCTTCCTTTGAGACACCAAGCACTTGGCGGCCCCTGAACACCTTTGCCCAGGCGCTTCCCTTCGCCTTCCTCTGCCTCCAGCGCAGCACCCGTGGGGGCCAAGGTCAGCCTTGGACCAGGGCTGAGAGCTTCCGGAGGCTGGCTGGAGAAGAGGCGTGGGAGGGTTTAGCCCTGAGAGCTGCTGGGTCACCATTCCTTGCCTGTTCCTCCAGGTCCCTGGACTCACTGTCCTCTCTGACTCTGAACCTCCTCTGAAAGTGTGACCTCCAGTTCCTCTCTGGCTGTCTCATTCCTCCTGCTCCCCGCTTTGCCAGGCCCACTTCCTTTGTTGCCTGACCCTTTGCTACTCTGTTACCCTGCTCAGCCCTTCTTGGCTTTGGGAACTCCTTTGTTACTTTGTAGCAGTAGAGTGTACTGTGATACTTCCTTGGTTCCTGGCCCCAGTTGTGACCTCATGTCCCTGATGGCCCTTCCCTCCGCCATGCTGTTCTCTATCCCATCTTTTATTTATTTATTTTTAAATTATTATTATTATTTTTTTTTTTTTTGAGATAGTGTCTTGCTCTGTCACCCAGGCTGGAGTGTAATGATGTAATCTCAGCTCACTGTAACCTCCGCCTCCTGGGTTCAAGTGATTCTCCTGCCTCAACCTCCCCAGTAGCTGGGATTACAGGTGTCTGCCACCATGCCTGGCTATTTTTTTTTTTGTATTTTTAGTAGAGACGGGGTTTTGCCATCTTGGCCAGGCTGGTCTCGAACTCCTGACCTCAGGTGTTGGGATTTTTGGAACTCCTGACCCAAAGTGTTGGGATTACAGGCGTGAGACACTGCTCTTGGCCCCCCATCCCATCTTCAGTCACTGGGAGGAGGAATTGGCTGAGTCCTGGGCCAGGGAAGGCTGGTGTATGCCCAAGGCTGATCAGGGATCTGCCCTACCCGGGGGGTAAGCTCTGCAAGCCCCCTTACCCAGGGGACCTGGGCCTGCTGGTGCCTACCATCCAGCCACCTCCCTCGACTCTAGTGTGGCCACGAAGCTACAGCCTGCCAGGTTGTGGGTGGCCCTGGTTGGTGTGGGATGACCCCCTGAGCCCAAACAGGTGTGGTGTGTGGGGTGCGTGGTGGTGGGTCACACTGCCTGCACCCATCTTCACAGACTCCACGGGTGGCAGCACCAGGCTGTGTCCAGGAAGGCCAGCCATAGGTCAGACAGGCAGCCTCTGGACATGCAGACAGACAGATGGAGGTGGCTGGCCAGGCGGGAGCCTGAGGCAGCCTCAGCCAGCAATTGCAGGGGTGGGGGTGGCAAGCAGCCATGGCGCCTCAGCCTAAGTGGCTTTTAGGGGCAGCTGCCGGGATATGGGCACCCAGGGGGCCATGGCCCAGGAGACTGCCCAGAGGCGGGCCCTGTGCTTGGGTGGGGGCAGGGGAGCCCAGGCCAAGGCCCCAGAGAGAGGATAGGGAGAGGAGGACTGCGCCAAGCCTGCTTCTACTGCTCACATGGGGAATTGCCTGGGCTGGCTGTGCCTGACCCCTGGGAACCAGGTATGTGCGGGGGGCCTGGCTGGGCTGGGGAGGAGGGCAGACTGGGGCTGTGCCTGGACTCAGCTGTCTTCCTATATTGGAGACAGAGGAAGAGCTGGGTGGTGAAGAGCATGGACTCCGAATCTCACATCCCTGGGCCCAAAGGGAGCTGAGGAAGCTTTGTGGGTCCCTCTCCAGGCCTGTTTGCAGGTCTGTGAAGTGGCCAAGCCCCTAGGGTTGTTCCAAGTAAAATGCGCTCAAGCATAAACGATTTCACTGTGGTGGCGACTGTCCTGTTGGGGAAGGAGGGACACTCGTGCTTCACGTAGAGGCTCAGGGACGTAGACGGCTGTGGGCAGGGGAGAGGAGGCCTGCTGCCTGCCTGCGGACACTGTGGAGCAACGCCTGTGCACACTGGCCACCACCCAGAGCTTAGAGTCCAAAGAAGTCAGTGGAGGCCCATGTCGAGACTCATCCTTTCGTTACCCTGCAGAGTCACAGTCCAGGCCTGGGGTGGGCTGGGACACAAGTAGGGGTGCCGGCCCGGCCAAGGGAAAGAATGGCGGGAATGGACGCGGTGCAGATAGCCCAAACACGGAGGGTAGGCCAGGGAGTCTCAAGCCACTGGCCCCCAGGATGCAGGGAGGGACAGCTGCGTGTCACGTTTAAACCTCTTTTTGCCTCCTGGGCCCTCCTGAGACCCCTGGGCCAGGGCAGTTCTGGCTGCAGGAGGGATCCAGATCAGGCATAGCGGAGAGGAGATAGGCACGGGGGTCTGGGAGGGCTTCCCCGGGAGGGTGGGGAGGGCTGTGGCCCTTGTTGTTACCCTTTGGCCCCTTTGGGGGGGTCCCTTGTCCTGGAGACCCTTTGTCCAACCCGTCGCCCACCTCAAGACCTGCCTGGATGCTGCACATACAGTAGGTATCCAATAAATGTTCCTGGGATAGAAGGCAAAGGCGCTGGCACCAAGGCGGCTGCCCAGAGCAGGAGCGAGACAGAGGGGTCCTGGTGGCTGGGGGGGTCCCCTAGTCCTGCCGCCTTCCCCCACCCCCAGTCGGGATGACCGGCCACGGAGGCCGGGATGGCTGGGACCGGAGGTGGGGGCGGCCGGGCGGCGGGGGCGGGGGCGGGGAAGGGGCGGGCGCGGGGGCGGTGCCGCAGCCCGAGCTGGAGCCCGAGCCGGAGCCCGAGGCGACGGGAGCCGAACGGGAGCCGCCGAAGCCACCGCCGGGTGCCCAGCGCCGCCGCCGCCCCCGAACTGCCCCGCGCCCCTGCCCGCGGGCGGCTGGTGGGCAGCGGGCGCCATGGCCGCTCCGGAGCCGCTGCGGCCGCGCCTGTGCCGCCTGGTGCGCGGAGAGCAGGGCTACGGCTTCCACCTGCACGGCGAGAAGGGCCGCCGCGGGCAGTTCATCCGGCGCGTGGAACCCGGTTCCCCCGCCGAGGCCGCGGCGCTGCGCGCTGGGGACCGCCTGGTCGAGGTCAACGGCGTCAACGTGGAGGGCGAGACGCACCACCAGGTGGGGGCCCGCGCTCACCCCCGGCCCGCCGCCCCCTCCCTGAGCGCGTCCCTCTGGGGCGGGCGGGGGTCGCACGGGGGCCTGAGGGGGCTTCCGCGGAGAGGACGCGGACATTGCCGGGAGGCAGCAGCCCGGCGCCTTCCGAGTCCCCGCGCAGGAAGCTCAGCCCTGCACAGGGGTGGGGGGGCATCCTGGCAGGGAGGGGCCCGCACTGCGGCTCCTGGCCGTTGGCCTCGCTCTTTGGTCGCGTTTTGGCCTCAGTGTGCTATGAAGGAGGGTGTTGGGCAGCCTGGGGCCCCTCCAGAAAGGTGGAGACCTGGGTGCTTTTGCGTAGGTGTGTGTACACGTGTGCGTGTGAACACAGCTGGGCGTGTGTGTGCAGGTCCCTCTGGGGTCAGCCAAGTGTGCACGCGCCTGCCTGTGTGTACCCAGGAGGGGTTGCAGTAAGGGCATCAGTGTGTCTGCAGTTGTGTATGTGCTGGAGTGTGTGTGAGTATACAGGTCTGCGTGTGTGTGTGTGTGTGTGTACAGGTCTGGACTCCTGGGCATGTGAGAGCTGAGCTCTGTGTGTGTGCACACCTGGTTAGTGTACTCATCACTGTGTGTCTGCAGGCTGGTAAGTCTGTGTCTGTACTCTAGTGTGTCCCAGCCGGTATGCCTGGGACCGGGTTGAGTTGGCCATTGGTGGCAACCACATTCCTTAGCTCCAAAGGCACTACCCCTCCTCAGAGGCCGCTTAGCCCGGCTGGGGTTACTTGCTATAAAGCCTCCTGCCTCCTGGCTAAGGAGAACAGAGCCTTTTCTCTGTGGGTTCTGACCCCTGAGGTATGTCTGTCTCCCACAGGCCAGGGACTTCCACCACACCCTGGTGGGGGTCCAGTGTCCACACACCCCTTGTCCTCCAGGTCCCCTGTCCCTCACACCACTGGCGAATCCATAACCTGTCTGCATGGCTGGTCCTGGAACCCCAAGATTAGCAGTTGGTTCAGCTGGGCCTGCAGTTGGTCTCCTGTTCACCTGGTGCCTTGTCTGTCCCTCCGTCGGCCAGCCCCATGCTTTCCACCCAGTGTCTGCTGTGTAAGGTTGTTTGCTGAAGAAGGTGGGGATCAGGGCCGGGCGCGGTGGCTCAAGCCTGTAATCCCAGCACTTTGGGAGGCCGAGACGGGCGGATCACGAGGTCAGGAGATCGAGACCATCCTGGCTAACACAATGAAACCCCGTCTCCACTAAAAATACAAAAAAATTAGCCGGGCGTGGTGGCGGCACCTGTAGTCCCAGCTACTCGGGAGGCTGAGGCAGGAGAATGGCGGGAACCTGGGAGGCGGAGCTTGCAGTGAGCCGAGATCGCGCCACTGCACTCCAACCTGGGCGACAGAGCGAGACTCCGCCTCAAAAAAAAAAAAAAAAAAAGAAGGTGGGGATCAGGCCAGTGGCCTGGACCTGAGGGATTGAGGGTAGGGCTGGCAGGGCTGGGGCCTGGCTGCTGTTTGATAGTCGTTGCCGCCCTTGCCCAGGGAACACCTGCTTATCCAAGGCCCTGGGGTGCTGGTCTCTGAGGACTGGACACACAGACCATGGTGGACTCTCCCCACTGCCCCAGGAGGGCAAGAGGTGCAGTTACTGCCCCATTTGACAGTTGAGGAAACTGATGCCAGAGATTTAGGGTGACTTGTTTGGGACACATAGTCAAGAAGCAGCTGGGCACTCGGTTCCTCTTGTCTCACTCTGGGTCATGGGGAGAGAGGAGGGCCAGGGGACAGATGGGCCTGGCTGAGTCCCTCCTATCTATTCACCACCCCTGCTGAGCCCGGTGGCTGGTGGGGAGCCCTGTCCACCCTCCCCCAGGCCGCAGGTGGGAGTAGGGCTGCCCGTCTTCCCGCCCTCTTCCCAATGGACACTGCTTTCTCTCTGCGGGTGCACGCCGGCCCCCTGCATGGTCCAGACACTTCACAGGCACCTGTACCCACACGCCGACAGCCACCATGCCATAGCTGTTCACTGCCCCTCCCCCTTGCCGGCTGTACCTGAATGTTGCTTCCCTGGCTGTGTGTGCGTACCCGAGCCAGGAGTCCAGCCATTCCCCTCCTCACAGGTCCAGTGGGAATGGGCCCATGGTCATGGCCTGGAGGTGGACATAAGGCCTGGGGTCAGGGGTTTAGACTCCCATGGCAGAGAATGACAGGAATGGGCACAGACACACCCAAACTGGGGCCCAGGGAGACACCCCTCTCCTTCAAACCTGGACGCAGACACAGACTTTGAAACAGATGGATGCACGTGCACACACTAACAGGCAGACTGAAAAGCTGAAGCTCCACTGTGCGCCGTCTTTGTTACTTCCAGACGGGACTTACCCAGCTGCCCTACCCTGCAGCCCCTTCCCAGCCCTGCCTGGAGAAGACCCTGGGCTAAGGGCAAGGCTCTGGGAGGACCCTGAAGCCCTCACAGCCTGGACCTCAGTGTCCAGAGCCCGGGTGCCGAGGGAGGGAGCCTCTGGAGTCTGGGGGTGGGGGGCGGGGCCGGCAGGCCTCTCGGTGCGGCCACCCGCCCATGCAGACCAGCTGCCCGCCTGCATGCCCGGGCCAGCCCAGAGTGGTGCCATTGCCCATGTGCTGCCCGGAATGCGGGCCACTGACCCGCTCCTGTGACCCATTCGCCCCAGGTGGTGCAGAGGATCAAGGCTGTGGAGGGGCAGACCCGGTTGCTGGTGGTGGACCAGGAGACAGATGAGGAGCTCCGCCGGCGGCAGCTGACCTGCACTGAGGAGATGGCCCAGCGAGGGCTCCCGCCCGCCCACGACCCCTGGGAGCCAAAGCCAGACTGGGCACACATGGGTGGCCGCAGCTCCGACGCTGGCAAGAAGGTATGGCGGGCTCGGCCCGCAGGGACCACCCTCGCCTCTCCCAGAGGCTCTCTCGGCTTTCGACGACCATCTTTGCCTCTGATCACCTCCAGAAGTCTTGGTCTCTTCTGCCTTTTGGGGCCCCTTTTCTGCCCCAGGGACCATCCTGTTGGCTACTGGGGGCCACTCTTTCTACCCTCAGCCTGTGTTTTAAACTGGGTAGGGTCAGGGCAGCCTAGCCTGTTCCTGTTCTCCAGGACGCTCCAGAGCCCCTTGCCCTATCGAGGGGTTACTGTGACAAGCTGCCGCCTCCCCAGCCCCCAGCCTCATGGCTGAGGAGCCCTGGGAATAGACATTCTAGGTCTGCATGTGCCCAGCTCCGTGCCTGTGTTGGGTGTCATCCGTGGCTCTGTCCTTGTCTCTCTCCAAGGAGCCTGTGTGCTGGGAAGGCCTGGGAGAGGGCTGGCCGCCTCTGCAGGTTGGGGAAGCCTAGGAGGCCACTCTGCCAGGCCTGGCATGGGTGGGGCTGGGAGCATGGGAGTGGAGTTGGGGGGTCCAGGTGGCTCCAAGGTGAGCCCACTCCTCCCCTAAATATAAGGGAGGGCCCTGGGACCCTGTCTGCTGTTCCTTCTGGGCTCCTGCTGGGTAGCACTTCCTCCTTCCCCTGCCCCTGCTCCCAGCCAGGAGACCCAGAAAAGTACAGGGGCCGCCTGCTCCACCTCCTGCTAGGTGGCCGCTGGGAGGGGCCACCTGGCAGGCCTTGAGGGCTAGGAGGAACAGCCTGAAACTGTGTGTCCTGTCTTCCTGGAGGCCCTGATGGCATTGTCTCCATGCTCTCCTACCTTGTTTTTCATTTTCAAAGATATCCCTGGCCGGGCACGGTGACTCACACCTGTAATCCCAGCACTTTGGGAGGTCGAGGCAGGCGGATCACCTGAGGTCAGGAGTTTTGAGACCAGCTTGACTAATGTGGTGAAACCCGTCTCTACTTAAACTACAAAAATCAGCTGGGCTTGGTGGCGGGCGCCTGTAGTCCCAGCTACTCGGGAGGCTGAGGCAGGAGAATTGCTTGAACTCGGAAGGCAGCAGTTTCAGTGAGCCAAGATCCTGCCACTGCACTCCAGCCTAGGGGACAGAGCGAGACTGTCTCAAAAAAAAAAGAAAAGAAAAGAAATAAATCCCTTCAGGGGATTTGAGTCCAGGGGTTGGCCAGACCCCACTGTGAGAACCGTGCCTGAGGCAGGGGTGTGGGATCTCGAGTTTCTGAGGGTGCAGGGGATCTATACATTCACTTTCTCCCTTTCCCAAGTATCACTCCTGGAGCTGGCTGCGCCTGGGAGCTGAGCCCGGCGGGGGCATGTCTTGGCAGGGAGACGGCATTCCCTGTGGGGAGGGGGCACAGGCCTGGCCATGGGACCTGTGGGACCCGTTTTGTTCCTGGGGCTTGAGGGCAGGCCATGGTCGTGCTCAGGGCCAAGGTGCCCAGCCCAGGGCTGGTTGGGGGGCTGGCCTTGCAGGGGAGCAGGCTGGTCCCAGGCCCCTATCTCCAAGTTGAGGGTTGGGGCCTCCCTCTTTCCCAGGCACCCTGCCTCCCCCAGGAGGAAGCTCCGCCTCTACCTCAGGCGTTTGTCCATTGATTTGGACACAAATGCATGGTTCACCTTCCTGTGGAAAAATCTGGCCCTCGGACTTTATCTGGAGGGTGCGGTGGCCGAGGCACCTTGCCTTGGGTGGGACCTTCCCCCGTCTGCTATTTCAGGCTCTGGGGGCTGCAGGAAGCCCTAGGAGGAGCTTCCTCTGGGTATATTTTTAGAGGAACAAAGGGTGGCCTGAGTGGCAGGTCCCTTTGTGCATGAGTCTGGCTGGGGACAGGGGCTCCAGGAGGTCAGGGGACACCCAAGGAGCAGGGTCTCCCCTTCTGTCTTCTGGCATCGAGACCTGAGGTTTCTTTTTCTTTTCTTTCTTTTTTTTTTTTTTTTTTTTTTTTTGAGACAGAGTCTCGCTCTGTAGCCCAGACTGGGGTGCAGTGGCCGGATCTCAGCTCACTGTAAGCTCCACCTCCTGGGTCCACACCATTTTCCTGCCTCAGCCTCCCGAGTAGCTGGGATTACAGGCGTATACCACCATACCTGGCTAATTTTTGTGGTTTTAGTAGAGACGGGGTTTCACCGTGTTGGCCAGGCTGGTCTGGAACTCTTGGGCTCAAGTGATCTGCCTGCCTCAGCCTCCCAAAGTGCTGGGGTGACAAGCGTGAGCCACCGCGCCTGGCTCGAGCCCTGAGGTTTGTTCACCTGAGCTCCCAGCGTGGACAGGAAGAATTGGGGTTCACTGGACCTCCGCAGAGCAGGTTCAGATCCTGCCCTGCTCAGCCTGGGTTCAGGGTGTGCCTGAGATGCTCAGGGAGCCCAGGAGGGCAAAGCTTACCTTGCGGGGATGGCTCCAGTGGGGGCAGTGGTGGCAGAGAGGCAGAGCCCTGGGAGGGTATGTAGCTTGGCTTTGGTGCAGGATGGAGAGGGCCCAACTCTGGGTGCCCCCTGGGAGCTAAGGGTGGTTCTCAGTGTCCTCTGTCCTGGCTGGGGATAGGGGAGGTGGGCAGGGGAGGACACTGATGTGGTCAGCCACTCCTTTTGGGGGTCATGAACGCCTAGTTAGTGATGACTCAGCCCTGGGCCACAGCAGGCTGGGGGTGGCCGCAGCTGCGGTGCAGCTGATCCTAGTAGTGATGACAGGGGACGGCCCCCAAACAGAGACGGGTGGCCAGCGGTGCCAGGCCCTAGAGGTGGTGGCAGACCCTGAGCCCTCTGCCCCCTGCCCCTAGCCCAGTCTCCACCTCCGTCTGGAGGGCCTTGGGGGCTAAGAGCAGGTGAGGGGTGACAGGTCTGCGGGAGGCGGCTGTGTGGTTAGGGCGCGGTGCCTGTGGGGGCTTCCGGGCTCCTATGGCTCTTGTTCCTCTGGAACCTCAGCATGACAGTCCTGTGTTCTGGGGCTGGGACTCCTCCCTGTCCCCCCAGCCCTGGGTCCTGGGGCGGGCAGGGCCTTCCAGCAGCTTCCTTCCTTCCTTTCTTGGGACGGAAACCTAGCTGGGTGGGGGGCGCCGGGCTGGAGCCTTCTAAGGGGAGTGGGCTCAGTCATCACCCTGCTCTCCAGAGTGACTCAGCCCCCGCGTCTCCACCCATCCCCGGGGAGCCGGGGCCGCAGAGGGAGGTAGATAAGTGGGGTGGCAGCCTGGGTCAGCCAGAGAGTTCAGGCCACCCCGGCCGGACGCCTGCCACTCACTGCCGCTGTACCGCTGCCATGGCGCGCTCCGGGAGTGCCACGCCACCTGCCCGGGCTCCAGGAGCCCCTCCACGGAGCCCACCCCAGGGGCTGGTACAGGTCAGGTGGAGCGGGAGGAAGGGAGGGCTAGGAGGAACCAGCAGCCGCTCAGCCTCCCGGGGTGGGAGGAAGGGACTCCGGGAACTTGATGTAAGCAGGCTGGTCCCTGAGCAACAATGAAGGCCTTTCTCTGCCAGGGCTGGTGCGTCACCATCTGGGGGGGCGCCCAGTGTACCCCCATGCTAGCCTCTTTGTCCGGACACAGGCATGGCTGGGGGACCAGGGATGGTCCAGCTCTGTGCTGGCCACTGGCGGGGAGGGAGCCTGGAGCCCGTGGGAGCCAGAGGGCCTGGCAGAAGGCGGCAGGAAGTGTGTGCTGAGCCAGGGCAGGGAGGAGGAATGTGAGCTATGAACCCCGCCCGAGCTCCTCAGCTCTCTGGGCCCCCATGCTCCGCCCCATGTGCTGCCAGCAGCCCACCCTGGCCCCTCCATTGCAGCCCCTCCACCTGAGGGTTTAGTGCTGTGCCTGGCGCCTCCGAGACCCTGCTGACAATGAGGGGTTTGATGATAGGCAGAACTTCTCGCCGTGTAGAGTGAAAGACGGCTGTTTCTGGACAGAGGCAGAGGGGTGGCCAGAATGACCCTGAGAACACTGAGGGGGCCTTGGCCTGGCCTCAGGGCCCCAGACACCCACCAGATCCTGCTTCCTGTCTGGTGCCCTGAGAAACCCTGCCCTGTAGGCCGCTGTGCAGGCGTGGGAAGGGCTGCCGGGCCAGCACTGTGGGGCTGGCCACATGTGTGGGCGGCTATGCATGTTTGCAGGTGTGTTTGGACGTCTTGTGTCTGTGACCGTGTGACGTGTCTTTACCGCCTGGGCCCATGTCATGCTCCCACCTCCCCCCCTGAACTAGGCTCCTGTCCCCATGCCTTCCCTCAGTCCCAGGCCAGCCTGGGGGCTGTGCTCCACCTTCCCCCTGAACTGGGCTCCTGTCCCCACGCCTTCCCTCAGTCCCAGGCCAGCCTGGGGGCTGTGCTCCACCTCCCCTCCTGAATGGGCCCCTGTCCCCACATCTTCCCTCCCTCCCAGGCCAGCCTCAGCACTGTGCTCTGACTGCATCCCTGAGGGGCAGCTCGGTGGGCAGGTGTCAGGGTCAGCCTCAAAGCCCCATGCCTGTGCCACCAGGTGTGTCTGGGGGAGGGGTGGGTCTATGTGGTGGGGCCCTGGAGATTTTGGGGATCTTGCACCCTCCAATTCAGCCCATGTGGCCCAGCTGAGCCCCTGCAGGGCCAAGGAGCCACAGCCTTGTCCCTGGAGTTTCTGGTGTGATAGGGCCTGGGTTGTGGCCATGCAGAGAGGGTTCAGAGGGTGGGCAGGAGGCTCCTGACGAGGCATCTGGCGGGCTGGACAGGAGAAGGGTATTCCAGACCAAGGGCAGGTCCCGAGCCCAGGGGACAGGGCACTAGCCCTGTGGAGAAGGACCCCCTTGCTCCCTTGGCAGGGCGGCCCCCGCCACTGACATGGCTGTTTCTGGTCCATTGGGGTTTGGAGTGAGCTCGAAGGTGGGTGGCTGGAGGGGTTGGGGGTGTCTAAGGCCTGGAGACCTGCCCTCCTGAGGTCTGAGTGCCCCTCTTGCCATGCCGCCCCAGCCCTGGCCTGGCCTGTGGTCCCTCAGGGACACACAGGGAGGTAGGAGGTGAGGGAGGGGCCCTGGCAGCCCCCCACCCCGCCTGCACGCTCTCCCCTGCGCACGCCCTCAAGCCTGGCACTCCCTGGAAACCTGAGCCTGCCCCCCGCCTGCTCCGGCCCCCGCCATGTTTAACTGAGCACGGGCAGCCACTGGCCACCGCCGCGGCACCCTGGCCTGGCCCCTGGCTGGGGGCTGGTCACTGGGCCTGGCCCTGCCTGCATGGTCCCCTGGCCCAGACCCCCACTGCAGGATGCCAGAGGTAACATGGGGCAGGGCCTGGGATGGTAGCGGGGGGGTCCTTCCGGGCCCCAGGAGGCCCTCTGTGCCCTGTCCACTCTAGGCTCCTGCCCCAGCCTCTGCGTGCTGGGCCCGCGGGGGTGGTGCGGCTCGTTTTCCCGGAATGTGAAAGCAAACAGAGCCGCCACCGCAGCCAGCCTCATGGAGGCCTCTGGAGAGAAAACAAAACTGCTGGCCTAGGAGCGCCTGCCCCACGCTCTGGAGGAGAGCCCGGGGCAGGGGGACGCACGGGCAGGGCCCTCAGGGACAACTGCCCCAGGAGGCCGACAGTGACAGTTCTTCCCACCTGGTGCTCTCTCCCACCCCGCCCGTGTGCCGCGCTGGCCTCCAGCCCAGGGAATTATCCCAGCGACCCAGGAAGGCGGCTGGGCCCATCGGGGAGGCTTCTGGGTTTGAAAACTGGCTTTGCCCAAGTTCCCACAACGAAAGCTCTGTCACAGGCAGCCTGGGTGCCCGGAGTGTTTGCCACTGAGACCTGGGCCTGCCCGTGGGTGGCATGGTACCGAGTCTGGGCAGCAGCGGCACCACCAGGGAGTGGCCTCTGGGGGTGGGAGGCTGGAGCCAGGGACTGACCCTGTCCCTTGGGCCTGCAGGATGTCAGTGGGCCCCTGAGGGAGCTGCGCCCTCGGCTCTGCCACCTGCAAAAGGGACCTCAGGGCTATGGGTTCAACCTGCATAGTGACAAGTCCCGGCCCGGCCAGTACATCCGCTCGGTGGACCTGGGCTCACCTGCTGCCCGCTCTGGCCTCCGCGCCCAGGACCGGCTTATTGAGGTACCGGCCCACCAGGGCTGTAGGGTGCTGGGGGCCCCATGCCTGTCCACACTGGGGCCCTGGGTCCTTGCAGGGAGGAGGGAGACACTGGGAACCTGAGCTGGTGCGCCTCCTGCTGCCTCGGCGGGCGGTGGCTGTGATGAATATTTGATGCCACACCTGGCCACGCGGCATTGGGGGCTGTCTGGGCCCACGGCGGGGCTGATGCGTGCTGGTGGCGGCAGGTGAACGGGCAGAATGTGGAGGGGCTGCGCCACGCTGAGGTGGTGGCCAGCATCAAGGCACGGGAGGATGAGGCCCGGCTGCTGGTGGTGGACCCCGAGACAGATGAGCACTTCAAGCGGCTTCGGGTCACACCCACCGAGGAGCATGTGGAAGGTGGGCCACGGCCCGGGGCACAGGGTGGGTGCGGTGTGGTGGCCGAGTAGCCACTGACACGCTGTCCCCACAGGTCCTCTGCCATCACCCGTGACCAACGGAACCAGCCCTGTCCAGGTGAGAGGGTGGGGTGCCCACGAGACACAAAGTGCTTCTGGGGGTACCCAGGCCCGACGGGCCCCCTTCTCCCTGGAGATCCCTTTCCTCGAGGTGTGGTAGAGACACCCGATTCTGGCCATCACCTCCCTTTAATGCCCCTGTGGTTTTCGTCCTGGATCAGTGCCACACACAAGCCACATGCGGTGCCTGGGGTTGGGGCTGCTGCCTTCCGTCCCCTCCTGAGCACCACCTGGTAGGGAGTTGCCTTCCAGTCTCTGCCTCCTCAGGGAGCTGGTGGTAGCCTCACCCCAGGCGTTGCTCACGCTGGCCATTCCTGCACCCAAACCCCCTCTGCACCATGAGCCGGCCAGGCCACCTGCCTGTCACTGCCGGGCGCCCGGTGCCTGCCTCACCGCATCTAGAGTCCATCAGATGCCCGGGGCCCCCTGCCGAGTGGAGGAGCACACACTGGTGGGGCGTGTGCATCTGTGCACATGTGTGCTTGTGCGGGTGTTGTGTCTGTCTGTGAAGCCACAACCTGCCCTTGGTTTCCCAGCTCAATGGTGGCTCTGCGTGCTCGTCCCGAAGTGACCTTCCTGGTTCTGACAAGGACACTGAGGTATGGATGTCCTCCTCCACTCCTGAGCTCACACATGGGGCTGCCAGAGGCCTTGGGGTGGGCGTCTGTGGAGATGTCAGCCCTGGCAGTGGGGTCTCTGCTCAGGAAGCCCTCATGAGCCCCTACCCCAGCCCCAGCCCCAGCCCCAGCAGGCAACCTGTGTTGGTTGTTCCCTGGGAGGGGCCCCCGTCTGGGGTGTGGGCCTAGGGCTCACTCCAGACACCCCACCCACCGTGCTCACCCCAGGATGGCAGTGCCTGGAAGCGAGACCCCTTCCAGGAGAGCGGCCTCCACCTGAGCCCCACGGCGGCCGAGGCCAAGGAGAAGGCTCGAGCCACGCGAGTCAACAAGCGCGCGCCGCAGATGGACTGGAACAGGAAGCGCGAAATCTTCAGCAACTTCTGAGCCCCTTCCTGCCTGTCTCGGGGCCCTGGGACCCCTCCTGCACGGACCTTGGGCCTCAGCCTGCCCCGAGCTCCCCAAGCCTCAGTGGACTGGAGGGTGGTCCTGCCACTGCCCAGAAATCAGCCCCAGCCCCCATGAGCCCCCGTCCTGCCCTTGCCTGCCAGGTACTGGGGGCCTGTGGCAGCAAGATGTGGGGAGAGAGACCCAGAGATGTGAGAGAGAGGCAGAGACAGACACACAGAGAGAGAGAGAGAGCGAGAGAGCGAGAGAGAGAGCGAGCGAGAGAGAGAGAGAGAGAGAGCGAGCGAGCGACAGAGCGAGAGAGAGAGCGAGCGAGAGAGAGAGAGACAGAGCGGCGGCAGCACGGGGTGAGGGCTTTTGCTGCTCTGCCGGGGCCTGCTGACTGAAAGGAATTTGTGTTTTTGCTTTTTTCCAAAAAGATCTCCAGCTCCACACATGTTTCCACTTAATACCAGAGCCCCCTACCCCCCCCCCGACTTCCCCTCCCCCTTGGGACGCGCTCTAAATAATTGCAATAAAACAAACCTTTCTCTGCAAACCATTTCCTCCCCGCCCCCTCCCCTCAGCAGCAGCCGTCCCGAGTGGGAGTCCCTGGGACTTCCCAGTGGCCGAGCTGGGGCCCCCAGCCTGTTTGTGGGGACCTCAGGTAAGGCCAGGGAGGCCTGATGTGGCCGTAGGAGCTGCCCCTCCCCAACCCGCCCTGGTGTGGGGGGTCCCTAGGCCAGGCCCTGCTCCCCACCCAGCTACCCTGTGCGCCTGTGCCCTGATGGGGGTCTGAAGTGCAGGGCCTAGGTTCTCCGAGGGGCCCGAGGATGGAGGCCCCATGTCCCCGAGGAGGGTGGCCTCTGGACAGGCCCCTCATTCCGCACGGCAGCTCCCAGGCCTGGGGAACATAGGTGTGTGAGAGCAGCACCCAGGAAGGACTCCTGGCCTCTGGTTCAGCCCTGCCTGGCAGGCTCCCCCGTGGACACCCTGTTGACTTTGCTCTTCCCTCCTGGGCCCCGCACCCCTGAGCCGACCACTGATCGACCGGCACCGCTGTTGCCTCGTTAAGCCATAGCGCATGCGCGCTCTCAGAATAAACAGGCCCTGCCTGGGACCCACACGCCTGTGTTTTCTGAGCCTCCTCCCCACGGGGTGAGGGGAGTGGAGGGATGAGGCTGTTCCAGGGAGCCCCCTGCCCGAGTCTCAGCAGCTGGAAACTGGGTCTCGTTCCTGAGCCCCTGCCCTGCATCCATCTGCTCCCAGCCCTGCTCCCTCTCCCCCACCGGACCCCATGGGACCCCCTGCTGTGTGGCACATCCTGGGCACAGGACCATCTCTCTATTCGGCAGACTCAGCCTCCCACCTTCATCTTCCCTGTGAAGCCATCTGGCTTCACACAACACTCCCACGGGCCACCCTTTGCCCAATTCAACTTGCGACCTCTAGCAATCACAGGTCAAGCCTTGTAGCCTATGGCACCCTGCCTGGGTCCCCAATGTCCCTTTCAAGGGCGGGTAGCTCTGTAACGGGGGATGGGACTGGGCAGAGGCTGCGCTTTAAGGTCACTGAAGTTCAGGAGCTGGTGGCGTCCAGGCTGGGAAGCTGGGAGCCGGCGATGGCTAGCATGAGGGGCCAGGGTCCTCAGCCAGCTGCCTCGGGCTGCTTCCCCAGTGGACTTCCAGCAGCCGGCTGCAGCTGGCTCTCCCCACTTCCTCCCTCCCAGGTTCACGCACACCCCCTTCTCCTCCCTGAGTACTGAGCAAAGACTGTCACGTCCCCAGCCGGCCTCCCAGGCAGCCCTGCTCCAGACACGCGAGCATGGGTGTGCACGCACACACACTTGTGTGTGATTCCCAGGCGCCCTGCCCCCTCAGGGACAGACATCAGCCAGATCCCATCTGCAAACAGTCCAAAGCTTTATTCAACAGGCGTGGCTTCCTGAAGCGTAAAGCCACTTCACAGACTGTGGCGACAGCAGCACCGAGGCGGGAGCTGCTCGGCCATCAGAGACCCTGGGCAGCCGGGCACAGGGCTTGGTTGAGGCAGGCCTGGCAGCGAGGGCGCACAGGCAGACAGGTCTGCTGGCCGAAGCCCACCAGGAGTCCGTTGATCTCGTGCCACAGCTCCCTGTGGGGGTGGGGGCTGGGTCAGTGCAGACGGAGGGAAGGCAGGGTGAGCTTTTCTCTGCCAGGAAGCCCCCCACATACTCATACCTGGGCAGCCACTCCTCCAGGGCGGCGCGGGTCTCCTCTGGGGACTTGGTTGCCTTCTTGGTCCACCTCAGCCGGTTGGCGATTCTGTGCACGTGTGTGTCCACTGCTGCGGAGAGGCAAGTGGGGTTGATTGGGCACACTCCACCCGCCCAGCCCGTGCACTCCCTGCCCAGAGGCGAGTCTGCCACCACCCCCATGGCCCTCCAGTTGGAGACTGGAACCACAGAGCCCTGGCTGCAAGCCTACATCTGACCATCTTGGCTGCCCCTGAGGTGCTGGGGCAGGGGCTGAGCCCTCTGTTGGGGTGCAGGCCTCCCTCCCATCACCTGAGCCAGCCTGGCCGGGGAGGGAGGGCTGTGCTCTGGGCTGACCCATTCCCACCAACCCTGGTGCCAGATGGGTGTGTGGGTGGTGGGGTCTCTGCTCCGTGCAGGGCTTGGGGGTGGATGACTCGGCTCTGCTTCGAGCTCTATTTCCCACAATAACAGCGACAGCTCACTTGGACAAACACTTGCTGGGGGCCAGACCCTACCGGAGAGACTGGCCAGTTCAGTAAGTCCTCACAAGGTCCTACAGATGCCCGAGGACCTTGTGAGGCCTGGCAGGATCCCGACTCTGAAGCACCTCTCAGCCCTCAGCCTCCCGGCCCAGGAGGGCTCATCCAGGCTTCCCTGTCTATCTCCTGTGGCCTGAGGCCCCTCCTGGCATAAGCACTGGCTCTGGGCACCAGGCTGGGTGGCAACAGCTCTGCCCAGCAGGCCGGCATGAGGTCACTGCCTGCAGACCCAGCACCTGCCCCTGCAGCGATCAGGAACACAGCGGGACCCTGGCCCGGCCGGCCGCAGCTGCTGTCCACCTGGGATCTGGCTCCTGCTCCCCTCAGCTGGTCACCCCAGGTGCCTGCTCATCGGGCTCCCTTCTCCCGCCCGGTGGCCCCTGCCAGCTGCGGCCCCAGCCCCAGCCCTGCCTGCTCCTTCAGTGTTTGCCAAAGAGAAAGCCAAGTCCTGCACCAGCTCCTTTGCTGCCGCCTGGAAAAAGGTGTCTGAGGGTGTAGGGAGACCACAAGACCTGAGAGGCCACATCCTTGGGGCTCTGAGCCTCAGTTTCCTCCTCTGTAACACGGAAGTGGCCATGCTTCTTAGGATACCCAAAGCTGTGTCAGGACACGTCACAATGTATGGGCCTCCTGCCCACCTGGACAGTGAATGAGGAGGACTGCTTCACCCACTTTGTGGCCAGAGCTTAGAGAAGCCAGGTGCCTGGCCCAGAGTCACTCAGCCGGGAGGTGCAGAGCTGGGACTGCAGCCAGCAATCTATGGCTGTGGCTTTTTTTTTTTTCAGAGGGAGTCTTGCTCTGTCGCCCAGGCTGGATAAAGACAGTGGCGCGATCTTGGCTCACTGCGACTTTTGTCTCTGGGTTTCAAGCAGTTCTCCTGCCTCAGCCTCCCGAGGAGCTGGAATTACAGGCTCTTGCCACCAAGCCCGGCTGATCTTTTTTTTCTTTTTTGAGACCGAGTCTCGCTCTGTCGCCCAGGCTGGAGTGCAGTGGCGTCATCTTGGTTCACTGCAAGCTCCGCCTCCTGGGTTCACGCCATTCTCCTGCCTCAGCCTCCCAAGTAGCTGGGACTACAGGTGCCCGCCACCGAGCCCGGCTAATTTATTGTATTTTTAGTAAAGACGGGGTTTCACCATGGTCTCAATCTCCTGACCTCATGATCTGCCCGCCTCAGCCTTCCAAAGTGCTGGGATTACAGGCGTGAGCCACCGCGCCTGGCCACGCCCGGCTAATTTTTGTATTTTTGGTACAGACGAGGTTTCACCATGTTGGCCAGGCTGATCTCAAACTCTTGACCTCTGGTGATCCACCCACCTCAGCCTTCCAAAGTGCTGGGATTACAGGCTTCAGCCCTCGTACCCAGCCAGCTCTGACATTTTAATTGACAGTGTTTCTCTTTCTGGGAACCCCCAGGAGGCAGCCCTGGGGTCTCCTTGCAGGTGGTCAGGCCCACAGACACCTGGAGAGGGAGGCATTCCTGCATGCCTGTCTCTTGTGCCTGCTACTCCCAAAGCCCGTTCCCTGCCTGGCTGCGGGCAGGGACCTTCCCCCACAGCCCTGCCCAACCACGATGCAGCACCCCAGGGACACGGGCAGCTGAGGACAGCCGCCCAGATAAGCTCAAGTGTCCGTTGAGAGGCTGGCAGGTGGTGGCGCTGGGAGTCTCGGTGGGGAGGAGGCCCTGCCCCGGCGCACCTGGCCTGGCTCTGGCTCTGGCTCTCTGGGGCTGCCGCAGCCCTTCAGCCTCACCAGGTGGCCCCCTGCTCAGAACCGAGGCCCTCAGCCCCTGATGGCCCTCTTGCCCACCAGAAAGTGCTGGAAGGCCCCCCCTAGCACAGGCCCTGCAAGAGTCCCACAGGGGCCTGGGATGGGGGCACAGAGGGCAGGGCCAAGCCCTGGTTTCTGGACTGGCTGGGCCCGGCTGTGTGTGGCCTTAGGAGCCCCAAATCCTCTGGGCAAAGCCGAGGATGAGGCAACCCCACCCCAAACCCAAGGGTCTGTCTTTACCCAACTGCCAAGAAGCCTCTGGTGCCAGGAAGAGACACCAGGACCTGGGAAAAGGATTTAAGGGGGGCCCTCCCCGCAGCGCCTCCCTCCCCACCCTCCCCCTTTCTCCCCCCAGCACCTCCCTCCCCACCCCGCCTGCTGAGGGGACACTCTTCCCCCTCCCTCCTCAGCCCTCACCTCCCCGCTCTGCCCTCATCTCATTCCAGAACTTACTGCTCCTGGCCCTGTCTCTCGAATCATGGTTTTGCAGATGCTGTTCCTTCTGCTGGGAACACACTTCCTGCTCTCGGCCTGGCTCACCCCACCTTGCCCTGCAGCTCTCAACTGAAGGATGACCTTGGGGGCCTTCCCAGGGGTCCTGGGCCCAGGCCAGGCCCCAGCAGTGCCCTGCACAACCATCAGTGTTTCCACCCCACGAGTGGGGAATTCCCTGCTCCACATCTCTCCTGAATACAGCACAGATGGAGTCTAGCTCCGGGGCCTCTCTCAGAGTCCCGCACAGAGCAGGCGCCCAGCCCACGCGAGCTCCTGCCCCAGCGCCTGTCTCTGAGTGGGGCTGGCCTGGCTCAGCCCTGGGAGCACCTTTCTGACCCTATGGGCTGGGTGGAGTCACAGGTCAAAAGGATGTGGAGAATCCCAGAGCAGCCAGTGGGCCGGAGCCAGTCCTGTCCTCCTGGGGGTGTGCACCACTCACCAATGCCTGACACAGTGCCCCAGGCCACAGCCATAGCCAGGTGTGCCATCTTGGGCCCAACGCCCGGCAGCGCCACCAGCTCGGCCACGGAGGCTGGGATGTCCCCGCCATAGCGCTGCTGCAGGATGGTGCTGGTCTGCTTGATGTATTTCACCTTGCTCTGAAAGACAGGGCTGGGTTCAGCCTTGGAGGCAGGGGCATAGCCCGGCGGGGGAGGACGCAGCCCCCGGGAGACCCACAGGGGGCCAGAGCTAACCGCACCTGCTGAGGACATGTGCGAGCTCAGCCCCCGCCCTCCAGGAGGCAGGAACAAGTGGAGGCAGCAGGGAGGCCCAAGGCAGGCCTGACCCCCTCCTCCCACCCGTGTGGGCCAATGACACGTGTGTAGGGTCTGTCTTGGGTTCCCCGGCCCGTCATTTCCTGCCAGCACCCCGGCCAGTCCAAGCAGGCCAGCCGCTCCCAGAAGTGGGGCTTAGCTGCACCTGCGCCTTCAGGAAGGAGGGCTGGAGCTGGGGCTTCCCCACCAGCTGCTAGGCCTGCCGGGTGGTTCCCATCCTGTGCCTGAGTGGAGAGGGCTATTTAAAACCCATCTGAGAAACTGCAGCCCACACGGGTGCCAAGGGGAAGCGGCCCCACCCACTAAGCTGCTTTCAACAGATCCGCCCACCACCATCCAGTGCTCGGCGGGGTTGGGGAGCAGGCCTCCCCAGGGGTCCTGGAGGGTGAGGGGCTCTGGACAGGAGGGGTGACACCCCAGGGGAGGCTAGCAGTAAACAAAGGGAAAGGCGGGTGGGCAGGCAGTCTTGGTGGTGAGGAAGGGCGGGCAGGCGGTGAGGTAGGGAGGCAGAGGAAGGAAGGGAGGATGCGAACAGGAAGGCCAAGGAGCTGCTGGGACCGGGCGTCAGGCCCCAGGACCCCATGGCCTGGGATGGGGCTCCAGGGGGACCCCCGAGCCTGAGATGGTTGACCCTCACCTCCTGCACTGCCGCCACCCCTCTCAGCCTTCCGAGGTCTCTCTCAGGCCACCCGGCCCCAGTTACCACAGGCAGGGCTCACCCTCCAGAAACCGACGGGGTAGATGAGCTTGCCCAGCGTGGCATCATCTGTCTGCAGGATGCTGTCCACCGTCAGGCCCTGCGCCCGCAGTCGCTGCATGGCGCCCGCCGTCACCTGGTCTTTGGTCTGGCTGGAGAGCATCAGTGACAGCAGCACCTGGTACCTGCGCACCTGCTTGTGCCGTGACAGGGACCAGGGTGGTGGCGGGTCCTGGGTGATTCCCTGGGCCAGGCTCCCCTCACGCCCTCTACGTACCCTCGTTTGTTACCCTGGGCCACATATGGAGCATCGGCCTCCCCCTATAGGGTAGGGAGGTCTGGTTTGGGTGTGTTTGGTCACCTACAACACCACGACAAAAATAGTACTCGACTCACTGGAGCAATGTGAAGCTTAAATGAATTGTCTCAGCGCTTAGAACCGTATGTGGCCGGGCGCGGTAGCTTGCGCCCGTCATCCCAGCACTTCGGGAGGCCAAGGCAGGCGGATCACCTGAGGTCAGGAGTTTAAGACCAGCCTGACCAACATGGTGAAACCCTGTCTCTACTAAAAATACAAAAATTAGCTGGGTGTGGTAGCAGGCACTTGTAATCCCAGTTACTCGGGAGTCTGAGGCAGGAGAATCGCTTGAACCCAGGAGGCGGAGTTTGCGGTGAGCTGAGATTTCGCCACTGCACTCCAGCCTGGGCAACAAGAGCAAAACTTGGTCTCAAGAAAAACCCCAAAACAATCATATCTGGCCCATCACTACTGAACAGCCATTGGCCACTACTATTGATTGCTTTGTGAATGATCACACTACCCATTAAAAACAATTTTTTTTTTTTGAGATGGAGTCTTACTCTTTCACCCAAGCAGGAGTGAAGTGGTGTGATCTTGGCTCACTGCAACTTCTAAGCCCTGGGTTCAAGCGATTCTCCTGCCTCAGCCTCCCAAGTAGCTGGGATTATAGGCGCCTGCCACCATACCCGGCTAATTTTTGTATTTTTAGTAGAGACGGGGTTTTGCCACATTGGCCAGGCTGGTCTCGAACTCCTGACCTCAGGTGATCCACCTGCCTCGGCCTCCTGAAGTGCTGGGATTCCAGGCATGAATCACTATGCCTGGTCCATACTACCCATTTTACAGACAAGCAAACTGAGGCTCAGAGAGGCCTGTATCCAAGTCACCTGATAGTAGAACAGGGATTAGAACTCAGCTTGGTCTAAGGTTCCAGGCCCTGGGACCGTGAAGCAAAAGGAACTCTTCCTCCCCGATATCACGCAAAGCCCAGGTCACGCCTGCACTGGGCAGAAGTTCTAGCACGAGGCCCTAAGCCACCGGCGTCCTGACCTGCTGAGTGGCTACAGTGATGCAGGCGACACTGCCCAGTGCTCTGGGGCACCGGGTGTACATCCTCCCAAGGTGCTGTCTGCAGGGGAAGGTGCCAGCCAAGAGCCACCGGGTAGAGAGAAAACAAGTATCTTGCTAAGAGCGGGGGTCACCTGGGCAGATGGGGCCCCTGCCTACCTTTGGGGGGGCACTGGAGTCATAGCAGTGCTCGACCCCCAGATGGTCCACAGGTGCGTCCTTTTCGCTTCTCATGGCACGGATGTTGACCAGCTGTTGCTGCCAGTCCTGGGGCTCCCAGACTGGCACTTTGAGGGGCTCAGCCTTCTCACCTTTCTCACTGTCCGAGCCCTCATAGGCCACACACAGTCTCTGTGCTTTCCGCCGACGCTTCACGGGGCTGTGGCTTTTCCTTGCTTCTGCAAAAAGCACCAGCCAGTCCCTCTGGTCGGGCCACAGGTGAAGGGAGGGTAGGGGTGCCGTCCCGCCTGCTAGCTTACCCCTCCCTCGTTCATGCCACAACTGTCCATCATCTAACACACTCGGGGCGCTCTGCCCTCTGCAGTCTGGGATATGTGGGCCCTCCTTATGCCAGCGACCCTGACAAGGTCCACGTTAGCTCATGAGGACTCTAGCAACAGCCAATACCATAGTGCCCCCAATACATCCTCTATACTGTGCCAGAGACAATCTGTTAACACCCACATTGGGTTGTGTCACTCCCTTTTAAAAATTCCTGGCCGGCCGGGCGTGGTGGTCCAAGCTTGTAATCCCAGCACTTTGGGAGGCCGAAGTGGGTGGATCACTTGAGGTCAGGAGTTCGAGACCAGCCTGGCCAATATGGCGAAACCCCATCTCTACTAAAAATACAAAAGTTAGCCGGCTGCGGTGGCGGAGGCCTATAGTCTCAGCTACTTGGGAGGCTGAGGCAAGAGAACTGCTTGAGCCTGGGAGGCGGAGGTTGCGGTGAGCTGAGATCACGCCACTGCACTCCAGCCTGGGTGACAAAGTGAGACTCTGTCTCAAAACAAACAAACGAAACCTCCTAATTGACTTCCGTTTGCTGTCATAATAAACTCCGAACTCTATCCTGGCATCAAAGCTCCTGCCACCCTGGCTGGCATCACCGCCTAACTGCTCCCAGCTGCACCAGTTCCTCCTGCCATCGTCTGGACTATCTCTGGGGTCCCTGGGTGCCTATCGGGATCCCCCTCTGGCCAATTCTGTGGAAGTCCCAGCGGAACTAGCGCAGGGGCCCTGTCGTGTCCCTCACTGCTCACTGCAGTGCTTGGTCCTCAGCAGGTCCTCACCGGCTGCAGGATAAATATGGCTGCCATGCCCTTTCCTGTTTTCCCTAAGAGGCACCCTCGAGCTGAGGGAGCAGGCTTCTGGCTGGGTGTGTTCTTGGCACCCAGCCTCTCTGACGGAAGCAAGTTCATTGCAGGAGGGCGGGGATGGGACCCACAGAGCCTGGAGTGGAGAGTCCCGGGCAGGCTGGTGGGAAGGGAAGCGTTTTCTTTTCCTTTTTTTTATTTTATTTTTTTTGAGACGGAGTCTGGCTCTGTCGCCCAGGCTGGAGTGCAGTGGCGCAATCTCGGCTCACTGCAACCTCCACCTCCCGGGTTCACGCCATCCTCCTGCCTCAGCCTCCCGTGTAGCTGGGACTACAGGCGCCCGCCACCACGTCCGCCTAATTTTTTCTAGTTTTTTTTTTTTGTAGAGACGGGGTTTCACCATGTTAGCCAGGATGGTCTCGATTTCCTGACCTCGTGATCCGCCTGCCTCGGCCTCCCAAAGTGCTGGGATTACAGGCGTGAGCCACCGCGCCCGGCCGGGAAGCGTTTTCTTGCTCGGGGCGAAAGTGGGCAGCGGAGCAGAGCGTCCGAAACCCAGCCACTGCGGACCGCAACCTTTGGGGAAAGGGGGCAAGGTGGGAACGCAGGGCCGCACGTGGGAACCGTTCGCAGCCCTTGCAGCCCCTGCCCGCGCAGCTGCAGGAGGAGGCGGCCCGGGACTCCAGCCTGCAGCCCCTATCCCGCTTCCTCCCATGCTCCGGTCAGGGCGCGGCGCTACCTGCTGCAGCTTCTCCCCTCCGGGGAGGCGCGGGCTCCTCCCCACACCCCCGCGGTCCAGCCCTGGGTCCCAGGCTCCGGTTCCGCGTCAGCATCCTGGCGCTCAAGGAGTTCATGCCGGACTCCTGCGGACTACACATCCCGGCGGCCCACGCGGCCCCCGTCACGTGACGCAAGGATCGCCGGCCTTTCCGCTAGAGGGCTGCCTAGAACTACAACTCCCAGCAGGCTCCGTGGCGGCCCTCCGCGCGGCACCGCTGCCGGAAGTGCGGGTCCCGCTTCCGGCAGCGTCCGGGGCCAGGGGGGTTCGCCTTTCTCCGCGTCGGGGCGGCCCGGCGCGCGGTGGCGCGGCGAGGGGTGAGTGGCCTGGGCCGCAGTGTGCCCCAGTCCCCACGGGGCAGCGGGGCAGCGGCTTAGAGAGGCGGACCCCGCAGTGTCCGGGTCCCGGGCCCTCACCCGCGCCCGCTGCAACCCGACTCCGGAGCTCCGAGCATCCCTTAGTTTTAAGTCATGGCGGGTGCGAGCGGGTCTCTGCTGCACTCGGCTCCGTGACAGCTGCTGCTACACATGGGGAGAGGAGAGACGGCAAACATCCGGGCTCCCAGGACTTCGCGGCGGCCATCCTAACCCGTGCACTGAGTCGGGCGGGGCGGGCGGCAGCGTCTGAGCAGAGAGCTCCCTAGACCAGGCCTGGTGTCTCCCTGGCTTTCCTAGGTGCCTGTTTGCGACCTGTTCAGCTGGGCTGTAGTGGAGTTATCCCAGGGATTGTGGGAGGAAAGGTTATGCCCACCAGAGGCCCAGGGTCCTGACGGCTGGAGGTCCGCAGTGGGGAAGGTGGGCAGAGCTGTTGCTCAGATGTCCCCGTGCCTGTTTCGTTTGCACAGAGGGGTGTTCTGGTGCGTCCTGGCCCACCATGGCCAAACCAGCAAGCAAAGATTCAGGCTTGAAGGAGAAGTTTAGGATTCTGTTTGGACTGGGAACACCGAGGCCAAATCCCAGGTCTGCAGAGGGCAAACAGACGGAATTTATCATCACCGCCGAAATCCTGAGAGTGAGTGAGCTGCCTGTGTCTTTGCTGGGCTACAGGGAAGTGTAGGGAAGGTTGGGTTTTGTCTTGCACCAGGTGCTGAGATGGGTTGCTGGCGACTGTCTGCACAGGAAAGCTGTCTCCAGTACTTGGGGGCTGACATGCGCTTCCTCAGGAGACTTGGAAGGTTAGGATCTTGGTGACCTGGTTCAGGCACACTTGAGTGATGATTCAGATATTGAGGAAAGAAAGCCCATTTTATCGATGAGGCCTGAGAGTCATCATCTCCACCGGTAAGGATATGGCCAGGTGTTAAATGATAACATGTGAGTTCCTGGCAGAAGTGAGTTCTGTATTTTATTTTTTTGAGACTGAGTCTCACTCTGTTGCCCAGGCTGGAGTGCAGTGGCATGATCTCTGTTCGCTGCAACCTCCGCCTCCAGGGTTCAAGCGATTCTCCTAACGCAGCCTCCTGAGTAGTTGGGACTACAGGCACCTGCCACCAGGCTTGGCTGTTTGTGTTTTTTTTTTTTTTTTTTTTTTTGAGATGAATTCTTGCTCTGTTGCCCCGGCTGGAGTGTAATGGCACAATCTCTGCTCGCTGCTACTCCGCCTCCCAGTTTCAAGTGATTCTCCTGCCTCAGCCTCCCCAGTAGCTGGGACTACAGACACATGCCATCACACCCATCTAATTTTTGTATTTTTAGTAGAGACGGAGTTTCACCATCTTGGCCAGGCTGGTCTCAAACTCCCGACCTCAGGTGATCTGCCCGCCTCGGCCTCCCAAAGTGTTGGGATTACAGGCCCTTGCACCCGGGCTAGGTCCTTATGTTTTATGTGTGCTTGTGTCTTTGTCACGTATGTCAGGCATTGTGTTTTGCCCATGAGTAAATGCTGAATTTTTGCGCTTTAAAGTTTTCTACTTAGAAACAACTAAAACTTTCATCAACTGATGAATAAAATATAGTCCATCTGGGCCGGGCGCAGTGGCTCATGCCTGTCATCCCAGCACTTTGGGAGGCTGAGGCGGGTGGATCAACTGAGGTCAGGAGTTTGAGACCAGCCTGGCCAACATGGTGAAACCCCATCTCTACTAAAAATACCAAAATTTAGCCTGATGTAGTGGCGGGCACCATTAATTCCAGCTACTCAGGAGGCTGAGACAGGAGAATTGCTTGAACCTGGGAGTTGGAGGTTGCAGTGAGCTGTGATTGCGCCACCGTACTCCAACCTGGGGAAGAAGAGCGAAACTCCGTCTGAAAAAAAATTTTTACAGTTTAAAATTGTATTTCATGTTATGTTTTATCTCAATACAATATTTGCAGTTTTGAAAAAAAATTTGCACATTCTCAGCTCCTCGGGATGGAGCAGTAAATCCCGTTGGTAAATCTTTTTTTTTTTTTTGAGACCGAGTTTCGCTCTTGTCACCCAGGCTGGAGTGCAGTGGTGCGATCTCAGCTCACTGCAACCTCCGCCTCCCGGGTTCAAGGGATTCTCCTGCCTCAACCTCCTGAGTAGTTGCGGAGTCTCGCTCTGTCGCCCAGGGTGGAGTGCAGTGGCCAGATCTCAGCTCACTGCAAGCTCCGCCTCCCGGGTTTATGCCATTCTCCTGCCTCAGCCTCCCGAGTAGCTGGGACTACAGGCGCCTGCCACCTCGCCCGGCTAGTTTTTTGTATTTTTTAGTAGAGACGGGGTTTCACCACGTTAGCCAGGATGGTCTCGATCTCCTGACCTCGTGATCCGCCCGCCTCGGCCTCCCAAAGTGCTGGGATTACAGGCTTGAGCCACCGTGCCCGGCCAATTTTTTGTATTTTTACTAGAGACAGGATTTCATCGTGTTGGCCAGGCTGGTCTCAAACTCCTGACCTCAGGTGATCCACCAGCCTCGGCCTCTCAAACTTCAGGGACTACAGGCGTGAGGCAACGCGCCCGGTCAGGTGAATCTTGATTTCAGAAAGATCTGTTTTAATCTCTAGTCTGGAAAATGCAGTGGGAGCCTTTAGGTGGTTTGTGACTTGCAGTTTAGGAAACCGTGGCCTGACCGCTGGCCCCTGTTTCTTCTTTCATTTCTCTCCAGGAGCTGAGTGTGGAATGCGGCCTCAGCAATCGCATCCGGATGATAGGGCAGATTTGTGAAGTCGCAAAAACCAAGAAATTTGAAGAGGTAGGTTTGTCCAGTTGAACTGCTAGAGAGAGGCACATAGACTGTTCAGAGCCTGAGTTTGCTTTTTTTAGGAGTATGGTTGACAGCTAACTGCTGATGATCTGGTTTGCACTTTTTTTTTTTTGAGATGGAGTCTTGCTCTTTCGCCCAGGCTGGTACAATCTCGGCTCACTGCAACCTCCGCCTCCCGGGTTCAAGCGATTCTCCTGCCTCAGCCTCCCAAGTAGCTGGGATTACAGGCATGCGCCACCACGCCCAGCTAAATTTTGTATTTTTAGTAGAGACGGGGTTTTACCATGTTGGCCAGGCTGGTCTCGAACTCCTGACCTCATGAACCATCTGCCTTGGCCTCCCAGAGTGCTGGGATTACAGGCGTGAGCCACCGCACCCGGCTGACTTGCACTGTTGTAGGGAAATTTAGCTTTCGTCATAGTGATGGGGAAGCTACCGGGAATGCCCTGAATACAACCTTGAGGGACCAATCAAGTGTGGAAGTGGGGAGCAAAGGGATTGGGCTTTTCTAGCAACACCAGAAAGAGGGTGCGGGGGCTCACACCTCTAATCCCAGCACTTTCGGAGGCCGAGGCGGGTGGATCACGAGGTCAGGAGTTTGAGACCAGCCTGGCCAACCTGGTGAAACCCCGTCTATACTAAAAAATAAGCCAGGCGTGGCGATGCCTGGAAGAGTTTGTAGTGGCTGATAGAAATGCATGCTCACTCGCCCTCTCCTATTATAAGTTCAGGCCAAGAAAAATCAAGAAAGGGTTCGTTCCACAGAGAACAATCCTAGGCACGCTGGGCTTGGTGCCACTTTGGGAGGGTGACTGGTCAGTGGTATTGGTCGACGTCATGGACATAGAAGTTTTTATTTTGGGCAAACATTGCCATACTTTCCTGATGACCTGGGGACGGGACAGGAAGTGGTCATTTGGGGAGTGCAGGTTGCTGGTGGAGCACCTGAGGGCTCTGCCCTTGCCTTGCCAAGCATTTGTGTGTGGGAAAGTAGTGAGAAGACCTGGACCTCTCATGCTGAGATCTGCTAAGAGGAGAGCGATTGCCACCTCTGCAGCAGCTCATCTGAAACATGCTGGCCGCACGTTAGCAAGGATAAGTGTAAAGAATAGGTGTCCTTGGCCAGGCGCAGTAGCTCACGCCTGTAATCCCAGCACTTTGGGAGGCCAAGGTGGATGGATCACCTGAGGTCAGGAGTTCGAGACCAGCCTGGCCAATATGGCAAAACCCCGTTTCTAGTAAAGATACAAAAATTAACTGGGCGTGGTATCGGGCACCTGTAATCCGAGCTACTCGGGAGGCTGAGGGAGGAGAATCGCTTAAACTCAGGAGGCAGAGGTTGCGGTGAGCTGAGATTGTGCCATTGCACTGCAGGCTGGGCAGCAGAGCAAGACTTCATCTCAAAAAACAACAAAAAAGGAATAAGCGTCCTGCGTCCTGTTCTGAGAGTTGTTTGTGTGGGCCCGGGGCAGCCTGTGAGTAGATGAATAGGCCTCCGAGGCTGGGATGGTCCCGGGGCCTGTGTCCGCGCATCTTTGCAGCTGAGGTTGCAACTGCAGGAGTATTGTCAATAGACAAAGGAGGTGAGAGTGCCAGTTGTCTCGAATTGATTGGGATGTTGGTCAGATGATGTCTAAAAGAACACGGCCATTTTGTTATTTGGTTAGAGACAAGGTCTCACTGTGTCACCCAGGCTGGGGTGCAGTGGCACAATCATGGCTCACTGCAGCTTCAACCTGCCAGGCTCACGCGATCCTCCTACTTTAGCCGCTCAGGTAGCTGGGACTACAGGCGTGCAGCACCACGCCTGGCAAAGTTTTATATTTTTTTGTCGTAACAGGGTCTCACTGTGTCGCGCAGGCTGGTCTGAAACTCCTGGCTGATGCGACCCTCTCCCCTCTGCCACCCGAAGTGCTGAGATTACAGGCGTGAGCCACTGCACTTGGCCAGAACATGGCCATTTTCGTTGCCCTCCTTAGAGGAGTAAGGCCAGGAGTGAGCCCGTGGTCTGAAAGCCGTGGCTGGTGGTTAATGTGGAGAAGGGAAGGTGGTGAGAGCCAGCCCAAACCCCTGCCAAGTGAGACTGATTCTGGCAGCTTTAGGGAGCAGGGATGAGCACCCCACAGGCTGGGTGGCAGTTAGAGGAGGCAGATTTCAGCAGGCCACATAGCACTCTTTCTCAGCAGGTCAGGCAGGCAGCAGAGGCTGGGCAGGGGCGTGGGGTCGAGGACCCCATGCTGGCGTGTTCACTAGAGGAAAGCCACAAGCAGAGATTCTGGGTCAGCTGCAGGCCTAGGGCTCAGTGTGTGCCTGTGGTTCTGAGACTGTCCCATGACTTCCTGTCAGCGTTCCGGCAGCTCTAGTGGGACTCACTGCTGGTCCAGGTGAGGCCAGGATCGCTGCCCTGGCGTGCTGCTCTCCTCTCAGCCCCAGTCTGTCACCTGGTGGGGGTTAAAGGGACCTGCCGGGGTTTGAGGCAGCTCTGAGCCGTTCCTCACACCAAGCCTGTGGTCATCTCAGGCTGCAGGAGACACAGGAGATACGAGCTTTAGAGGTGGGGCTCTAAGTCACAAGCCCCCGTTGTTCCACCCTGTCCTTTGCTCACGGCACTGTTCCAGTTGCTGGGGCCAGGGTTCTTGGAGAGCATATCCTCACCGCTGTCCCCTCTGCTGGTGACAGCACGCAGTGGAAGCACTCTGGAAGGCGGTTGCGGATCTGTTGCAGCCAGAACGGCCGCTGGAGGCCCGGCACGCGGTGCTGGCTCTGCTGAAGGCCATCATTCAGGGGCAGGTAAGGCCCGGGGTGACGCTGGGATGGGTGACGTCAGGCCACCCACTGACTGTCCTGTCCCTGCTGGGCCGTGTTTGGACTCCTGCCTCAGTGAGTTCCTGGGCACAGGGTCTAGGGGCCGACGGGCTCTGGAGCTGGACGGCCTGTGGGGTCTCCTGTTGTCATGAGGTCTGTATGACGGTGGGCACACTGCCTCCTCGCCTGTAAACAGATGGTCGTTGCACCTTCCTCTTATGGGATGTTCTGGGGATCACATGAGGCAGTTCTCGGAGAGTGCGGAGACCGTACCTGGCAGCTGGTGCGGGGCTGCATGTTGTTTTGCCCTTGCACCCTTTCGGGGCTGCTCCGCTGCTCACTGCATTCCAGCTGTGCTGGTCTTGGCTGACCCTGAACACCCAGGCCTCTTGGTGTTCCTGCCTCCCCTGGTTGGCCACTTCCACTCCTTGATGTCCCAGCTGCTCAGAAGGGCCGTCCACTCTCACAGGCTCTCCGGGGCTTCCCCCACTTAGGCTTTGTCCTCAGTCTGTGAGCACAAGGCTGTCTGCCCTGGACCGAGTGCAGGGGTCGGGCAGGAGCTGTGTCGTGTCCTGCTCTGTGCCACCTGCTGTGCCAGGTCCCGACACACAGCAGTTGCTTCCCATCCGCCAGTGCATCCAGCGCCCTGCACTGAGCACCACTGATGCTGCAGGTCTGTCCCTTGCAGGGCGCTCCTGTGGGAAGGAGAGGGGACCAGGGCTGGAGTCCAGGTGCCCTTGCACTTCAGGGACTTCTTGGCAGCTGTGTGGGAGACGCTGGCCGGCTCTGCTGATCTGTGGCTTTTGTCTTTAGGGCGAGCGTTTGGGGGTCCTCAGGGCCCTCTTCTTTAAGGTCATCAAGGATTACCCTTCCAACGAAGACCTCCACGAGAGGCTGGACGTTTTCAAGGCCCTCACAGACAATGGGAGACACATCACCTACTTGGAGGAAGAGCTGGGTGGGTGCCACATTGGGTGTGAGGTTTCTGGGATGGGAAGGACCTGGGGCTGGGGAGGGGCTGCAGTTCTCAGGGATGGCCTGTAGCGGGTGTGCCCATGCAGCTCCGTGCACCCGGGCTCATCTGCGTGGCCCAAGTGGCCCCGAGGCACGTGTTAAGCCGGCCAGGTGCCCACCATCAGGTTTACTGTCTGAGGTGACGTGGCTGGCTGCCAAGTGTGCGCACATCTCCTCCGAGCAGCGCTCTCGTGGGGGTGGGGAACGCCCGGGAATCTGGCGATGTCGGCGTCTACCACCCTTGGGTCAGGCCCTTAGTGTACGGCACACGCTCCTGCTGCCGCCTCGGTGCAGACCCTCTGTGCAGCCCCGGGGTGGTAGATCCTAGTGTCCGTGCGTAGCCGGCCTGCCTGGACTCCCCTGAGCCTCTTCGGGCCCAGTGCGTGGTCTGCCTGTTGCTGCTGGGGGACTGATGATGTGATTTCTGGCAGTGACGGGTTTGGACACACTCTCCTGCGTGGGGAGGTGGAGGTGAGTGGGAGATGTAGATTCGGCGTCCTCGCAAACCGCCACCGTTTCTCCCGCAGCGGACTTTGTCCTGCAGTGGATGGATGTCGGCTTGTCCTCGGAATTCCTTCTGGTGCTGGTGAACTTGGTCAAATTCAACAGCTGTTACCTCGATGAGTACATCGCAAGGATGGTTCAGTAAGAAAATAATTGAGATCCTGTTCTGATAATGGTCCTAAGTTCAGCTCCGCAGTGAATAAAGTTGTTGAAACCACCAAAAAAATAGAGGTTGGGCTGGGCACAGTGGCTCATGCCTGTAATATCAGCACTTTGGGAGGCCGAGGCAGGCAGATCATGAGGTCAGGAGTTCGAGACCAGCCTGGCCAACATGGTGAAACCCCGTCTTTACTAAAAATACAAAAATTAGCCGGGCATGGTGGTGGGAGTGTGTAATCCCAGCTACTCGGAAGGCTGAGGCAGGAGAATCATTTGAAACCGGAAGGCAGAGGTCACAGTGAGCGGAGATCGTGCCATTGCACTCCAGCCTGGGTGAAACTCCGTCTCAAAAAAAAAAAAAGAAAAAGTAGGCTGGGCGCGGTGGCTCAAGCCTGTAATCCCAGCACTTTGGGAAGCCGAGACGGGTGGATCACAAGGTCAGGAGATGGAGACCATCCTGGCTAACGCAGTGAAACCCTGTCTCTACTAAAAAATGCAAAAAAAAAAAACTAGCCGGGCGGGTTGGCGGGCACCTGTAGTACCAGCTACTCGGGAGGCTGAGGCAGGAGAATGGCGTAAACCTGGGAGGCGGAGCTTGCAGTGAGCTGAGATCCGGCCACTGCACCCCAGCCTGGGCGACAGAGCAAGACACTCCGTCTCAAAAAAATAAAAAAAATAAAAAAAAAAAGGAAAAGTATGTAGCTGTCTTCTTTTTAGCTATCACCTGATGTCTTGGTTATCTTTTTGTTGTTCGTTCAGAACGTTGCATGAGATCTGTGAGGGCCGGGCCTCTGTCTCACGCTGAACACCCAGCACCGAGAACAGTGGCTGGCACACAGCAGGCACCTGAGTGCTTGGGTGGGTGGGACCCCCAGGGAGGATGAGCGGCGTGTGTTATTGGCATCATAGAGTGACTAAACCACAGCCCGTGGCAGCTCGGACCTCCAGGCCACGCTGCCGGGACTGAGCTTGCTGCTCCCTGCAGGATGATCTGCCTGCTCTGCGTCCGGACCGCATCCTCTGTGGACATAGAGGTCAGTGCCTCCCCTCCCCAGGGCTGGCCCATTTCACCCTGGTTTCTGGGAGGCTGGGGCTTGGGGATTGAGCCCTGTGTGCCGGCTGCTGGCTGTGTGGCCCTGGGCAAGCTGCTGGATCTCTCTGAGTCTCAGGAGTCCTCCATATAGGTCAGGAGAGCCGGGCGCCTCCGTGTGGAGTTGTAGCTCAGGGTGGATGACAGCATCGATGACCCAAGTGACAGGGATGTCAGGTGCTTCCAGCATGCCTGCTCGGCTGGTGGCTTGGAGAGAGGCTGCTATGGCAGTGGGGAGAGGTGGCAGTACAGGCTGGAGGAGGTGGGAGGGAGGCCTGGGTGTCCTCTCCTGTGGGGAGGAGCTGGGGTAGGACCGGCGTGAGCCATCTCCCTCTCCACCAGGTCTCCCTGCAGGTGCTGGACGCCGTGGTCTGCTACAACTGCCTGCCGGCTGAGAGCCTCCCGCTGTTCATCGTCACCCTGTGCCGCACCATCAATGTCAAGGAGCTCTGCGAGCCTTGCTGGAAGGTGGGGTCTCTGAAACTGCTCTGGAAGGTTCCTGAGGGCACATGGACGGGACAAGGGCCATCTTTTCTTCCATGAATGGCTGTCTGATTCTTGGGGTGGCCAGACAATGGCCTGTTGAGGGACAGCCAGTGTCATTTTCCCAGGCAGTTGAGCTGAGGTCAGGGTTTTGGTGGCATTTTGAGAACCCTGCTGCCTCTGTATTTGGGAGATGGTGGTGAGCTGGCTGGACCTTGGGTGGCTATAGGGCAGCAGCCAAGTGGGGCCAGGAGAGGGACTGGGGCTGCGGGCAGGGCTTGTGCCTGCCAGCCCCCGACGTGCATCGTGTCTTGCAGCTGATGCGGAACCTCCTTGGCACCCACCTGGGCCACAGTGCCATCTACAACATGTGCCACCTCATGGAGGACAGGTGAGTGTGGTGGGCGGGGCGCAGGGTGGCGGAGGCCAGCACGGCCCTCAGGGCAGCCCTGGTGTCCTTGCTGGGCACACACTGGCTTAGAGAGGCCTTGTCCTTTAGGGCAGCTGTTCCAAAGGCTGCCACTAGAGCGAAGCCCATGACTTCTAGGAGGGAGCCCCGGTCCTCTCCTTCCTCTGTCATTTCCACAGAATATCCACACCCAGCTCAGTGCCTACCCCGCGCTCGGACATCCTCCAGCGCGCTCCCCCACAGCTTAGCCTGTTACAAGGCGAGGCTCGAGGTCTTGGCCTTGACGCTACCCTTGCCCTCACCCCCACAGCCAGAGTGTGGCCACTTCTGCTGCTTTAGCCCCGAGAGATGACTCAGCTCTGCCCATACCCTGGCCTCCCACCTGTGCTGCCAGATCCCCTTCCTCCTGCTCTCCTGTATCCATCCGCGCCTCCTGAAGCCCACTCCACGCAGCACCCGAGTGGCCTTTTTCTGACACAGATGTGTCTGTGTCACCCTTTGCTGGAAGCCAGATGACTCCCAGTGCCCTCAGGGTGCAAGCTCCTCCCATGGAACCAGCCCTGGGGCCCAGCCCTGCCTTAGCCCTTGTATCTCTCCCAGCCCTGCCCCAGCGCCTGCATCTCTCCTTTCCTCCGTCTTGCCATCTCCCATCCACCAAGGGCTTGTGCATGCCCTGATTCCTCTTACTAGCAGGTTCTTCCACCTTTGCCGAGTTCGTCTGTTTTCTGAGGTCTTAGCATGGTCACTAACTCCCCTACCTCCCTGAGTAGTTTTTGCTGTGGCTTTTCTTCTTGGCTGTGATTGGAGGAAGAGATTTTGCGTTTACCTGGGAGACTGTGTGGCTGGTGCCTGTCTCCCCCAGACTGTGAGGCTGTGGGCCATCCCTCTCGCCGCGTTCCTGTCCCTGGCATGACCTGTAGCTCACAGCGTGGTCAGCAGTGATGGGGGCCGCCTGTGCGTGAGAGTGAACGAGAGCGTTACTGCTGGCCTCTGTTCCCTGCCCTTCCCCAGCGGTGCTCCGGTCCCCCAAGCAGAGGGACCTCTGGGGCTGCTGCAGGAGCCTTGGCAGCCTCACGTCCACGGCGGACCCTGGCCAGAGCCCTGCTCACATTCTGTCTCTCTGGGGAACACTTGCAGAGCCTATATGGAGGACGCGCCCCTGCTGAGAGGAGCCGTGTTTTTTGTGGGCATGGCTCTCTGGGGAGCCCACCGGCTCTATTCTCTCAGGAACTCGCCGACATCGGTGCTGCCATCATTTTACCAGGTAAGGCGGTTTCCGTGTGCAGTGAGCTGGCGGGAACGGGAGAGCTCCCCTCAGGCCTGCCCACCCACCCCACCGGGTCCTGCTGCAGGGGCTGCAGTAGGCCTTTCCAGGCAGTTGCTTTGCAGCTGGGGGTGAGGTTTGGGGCCCTGTGAAGGCTTTAGTCTTTTTTGTTTTTTTTTGAGAAGGAGCTCTGCTCGTTTTGCTTGGCTGACTGCAATCTCCACCTCCTGGTTCAAGTGATTCTGTTGTCTCAGCCTCCTTGAGTAGCTGGGATTACAGGTGCCTGCCACCACGCCTGGCTAATTTTGTGTTTTTTAGTAGAGACTGGGTTTCGCCATGTTGGCCAGGCTGGTGTCAAATTCCTGACTTCAAGTGATCCGCCCACCTCAGACTCCCAAAGTGCTGGGATTACAGGTGTAAGCCCCCATGCCTGGGCAAAAACTTTAATTCTGTCTCTTTTTTTTTTTGAGACAGAGTTTCACTCTTGTTGCCCAGGCTGGAGTACAATGGCGCGATCTCGGCTCGCTGCAACCTCTGCCTCCCCAGTTCAAGCAATTCTGCCTCAGCCTCCTGAGGAGGTGGGATTATAGGTGCCTGCCACAATGCCTGGCTAATGGTTTTTTTTTTTTTTTGAGACAGAGTTTAGCTCTTGTTGCCCAGGCTGGAGTGTAATGGTGCGATCTTGGCTCAGTGCAACCTCCGCCTCCTGAGTAGCTGGGATTACAGGCATGCGCCACTATGCACAGCTCATTTTGTATTTTTAGTAGAGACGGGGTTTCTCTGTGTTGGTCTCGAACTCCCGACCTCAGGTGATCGGCCAGTCTCGGCCTCCCAAAGTGCTGGGATTACAGGTGTGAGCCACTGTGCCTGGCCAAGGCTAATGTTTTTGTATTTTTGGTAGAGATGGGGTTTCACCATGTTGGTCAGGCTGGTCTTGAACTCCTGAGCTCAGGTGATCCACCCACCTTGGCCTCCCAAAGTGCTGAGATTATAGACGTGCGCCACTGCACCCGGCCCAGAGGCTTTATTCTCAAGCAAACCTTACATCTTGCGAGTTGCACCTTCTGGAGTTGTCAGTGGAGGGGCGAGTGCTGCCTCTGGGGTGGCCGTTCTCTTGCTGTTGGCGGCGCTGTTTTGTCGAGTGCTGATCTTGCCCTGTCTCTGCAGCGGCGCCTGGCACAGATGCCGGTGGTATAGCTTCAGTCTCCGTGCCCTGTGATGACAGAGTGCTTTTCGTGTCCGTCCTCGGTCGGTGCTCACAGCTCCCTGGAAGGTGGGGCGAGCGCACTGTGCCGGTTTTATAGTGATGGGCTGCGGTGCGGGTCACAGGGCTCTCCTGATCCTCTGCTCTCTGTGCTCCACCTCTGCTCTCCCTGCTCCACCCCTCCCGTAGAGGGGGCCGGGAGACGTTGTCTTTGTGCTCGGCTTGCAACAGAACTCAGGGCAGCTTTCAGGTGCTGCTGGGCTGGCCCACCGGGTGCCCAGGATTCAGTTGCTGGTCTATCCGAGTCAGGGACTTTGCAGGCAGGCATGGGGTGGGGCCCCGTCTGGGTCCTGACCGTGCTGGAGCGTGTAGAAACTCCTCCTGGGCGCCCCACATGCTGTTCTGTGGCCCCGATGCATGTGTGGTGGGCACTGTGGCCTCAGGTGTGCTACTCCCGGTTCCAAGGGTGACTGGGAGGGCTTCCCACAGTGAGCAAGCAGCGGTGACCCTGTGTGCTGGCCGGGCTCATGTTCCAGGCCATGGCATGTCCGAACGAGGTGGTGTCCTATGAGATCGTCCTGTCCATCACCAGGCTCATCAAGAAGTATAGGAAGGAGCTCCAGGTGGTGACGTGGGACATTCTGCTGAACATCATCGAACGGCTCCTTCAGCAGCTCCAGGTGGGGTGGGGGCAGGAGCTCCAGGGAGCACTGGGACCCCAGACAGTCAGGCTTGGCCCACTTGGAAGATGGTACCTTGGGCCCCATCTCTGGTGGTCCCACAGAGACTGCCGGAACCGTGTTCTCTGGTGATTCACAGTGGTGCTCATCCACCTTCCACTGGAGACAGATCTGATTTTTCCAGACGTGCTGCACCATTTTGGGCCCAGACAGGAATATGCAGTAGGTGAGCCGGGGCTGGGCCACTGTTGCCCACAGTCCGCAGAGTGACCTGCAGGCCGTCTTCATGGCCTGAGTGGGCCCCGGCACAGTTCCCAGAGGGATGCCAGTGTGGCTTTGACGTGACTTTGGAGGAGCGCATTAGTCGAGTCTGCTAACCGCAGCTTTAAGGAGGACTCCACAGCCACACAGGCTCATCAGCACAGGGGTCCTGGGGAGGCGAGGCTGGTATCCAGCAGCCTCAGAACTGTGCCTTTTCCCAGAGCCTGGGGTGGGCGATGTACAGAAAGCCAGGCAGCGGAAGGGAGGCTGGGACTTAGCAGGGAGTGAAGTCCTCTCAGGGCCTGTCGCTGGGCCAGAGCATTGTCCCTGACCCCTGGCCAGGGGGTGCTGCAGCACTGAGTGGCAATGGCAGAGGCCATAGCCTGGGGCTTCTAGAAGAGGCTGGACCGGGGAGAGGCAAGAAGGGCTTGTAGTTGTGGCTGCTCTTGGCCCTCCTGCCCGAGCTCCCTTCTTGGCCCAGCTGCGTGGGCACAGCCAGGATTCCCTGGGGGTGGGGTACGGGCAGGAATAGCAGCTGCCATCCCAGCTACTGTGGCCTCTGGAGACGATCTGGGGGGTGTCTCAACCCATGTAGCCCAGAGCGGCCTGAGAGGGCTGAGGGCGTCCCCCTGCGGCGGGTGCGTAGCGAGGCCTCTGGTGCCGAGTGCATGCGGGGAGTGGAAGTCAGCCTGTGTCATGGTTCCTGATGCTGCAGACCTTGGACAGCCCGGAGCTCAGGACCATCGTCCATGACCTGCTGACCACGGTGGAGGAGCTGTGTGACCAGAATGAGTTCCACGGGTCTCAGGAGAGATACTTTGAACTGGTGGAGAGATGTGCAGACCAGAGGCCTGTGAGACCCCTTCCTGGGTGGGGCCTTTGGGCTTTGGCTGGTGAGGAGGGGCCGGGTGCTGGGTGAAGTGCAGCTTTCTGAGCCTCGGAAGCCAGGTGGGCGCCTGCTTTCCTGGTGTCTGCACTCGGGCAGGGGAGGCTGCTGGGCGCTGGCGGGCGGAGCGTGTGTTTGCTAACAAGCTCGGTGTCAGCCCACCCGTCAGTTTCCTCCCACCTGTGTGGAGGAAGCTTCCATCCGGCTCTGTGGAGTCCTGTGGCTCCCAAGTGGCTGCAGTCGTTTTGCCAGGAACACTCAGCTTAGGACCCAGGCTTTTCCATGGGTTTGGACGCACGTCTTCCCCACTGCCAGGAGTGCCTTTGTGTCTGTGGGCTGCAGGCTGTGAGGCAGCTGGGCTCTGACAGCAACCCGGCCTCTCAGTCAGCAGCCTGGTGTGGAGAAGGCGAGCGGCGGAGGGGCAGAGGGGCAACACCAGCTCTTCTTTTGACAGGAGTCCTCCCTCCTGAACCTGATCTCCTACAGAGCGCAGTCCATTCACCCGGCCAAGGACGGCTGGATTCAGAACCTGCAGGCGCTGATGGAGAGATTCTTCAGGTAGGGAGTCCTCTGCAGCCTTGCCTGGCACCTGGAGCCTGGCCCTGTCTCTGTCTGGGGCCCACCCGGGCCGGGTCTCAGGATGCCCGACGAGCAGGGTCCCCGTCTCTGCCTCTGGAGAGCCCCGGCTCTGGGTGAGCAGGTGCTAGCTTGCCTTCCAGGCCAGCAGGACAAGGTCCTCTCGTGACGCCACTGGGCTGCCTCCTATGGGGGGTGGTCTGGAGAGACGCATCCTGGGAGGCAGAGCTTTGTGCCCTGTGTGCCTGGATGCGGGAGGACCCAGAATTGGGCTGGCCTGTGCCAGGCGGACAGGCTGGTGCGGGGCTGTGGCCGGGCACCCCCCACCCGCCCCAGCAGGCTGCTGTCCCACAGGAGCGAGTCCCGAGGCGCCGTGCGCATCAAGGTGCTGGATGTGCTGTCCTTTGTGCTGCTCATCAACAGGCAGTTCTACGAGGTGCGTGTCCAGGGCGGCCGCGCTGGGGGCTCAAGGCTTTTTCTCCATGGGGTGGGCGGTCTCCGTTGTGTACATGCTCCCACAGAGCCGGGCTCTGCCTGGGACTTCGGTCCTACCGGGCCCTCTGCAGCCCCCAGCGTGGTCTGTTTACCCCTGTTCATTCGCTGGCTTGCTCGCCCTGGGGGCCTCTGCCAGGCCTTGACACGTGGCCAAGTAGCAAGGAAGGCACAGTGCCTGCCGTCAGGGAGCTCCGGCCGGGTTGTCACCGAACACAGGAGCCTCCTAAGAATTCTGTTCAAGTTTGTTTAGATCAGTCTCGCGTGGGGACGTTGTCTTCTGTTTCTGTCATGACGTTCACCCTGTGCACCTGGCCTGATCGCCAGCCCTGCCTGGTCTCTCCTCTGCGGGCTCTCCCTCTCCACTGCCTCCTCTGGGAGCTCTGTGGCCCCAGGCCCACCTACCTTGAGAGACTGTGTGCCTGCCAGCCATACCCCTTTCCCAGGAGGCGCAGCTTAGCTCCGAGACTGTCCCTTCCCACCGCACTCCTCCCTGCAGCCTCGCAGTCCTGCCCTCCTGAGAGCTGCCCGCTCTGCTCCTCTCCCCAGCCTCCACTCTCCTTGAATTGCCCTTTTCTGGGCATTGCAATCCCGCTTCCCATCTGATGGAGCTAAGGGCCGCCTCCCGGAAGTTCCTCTGGGTCCTCTGACTTCTCTCATTAGGGCTGGTCTTGTCCTGGTCTCTGTTACTGTGGAACTTTTTACCTGCTTCTGTGAAAACTCACGCTGTCCCCAGCGCAGCACGCACACACACACGCACACTCACACATGCACGCACAGGCACACACGCCCACGCCCACGCATGCATACACCACACGCACTCACCCTCACACACACACGCACAGCACCACGTGGGAGGGGTTCTCAGCTGTGACGGTGAAGGGCAGGGCCTCACCTCGGCTGCTCCTTGTGAGTCGTGGGCCCCGTGCCTGTGCCGGGTCGCCCTGCGGTGCTCACCAGCCTTCTGAACGAGGAACTGGACAGGATCCCTGGGAAAAGGCCCTGGGGTCTCTGAGTCACGCTCAGCGGGGGCTTGTGCTCCCTGCCCAGCTGTCCTGAAGGCCTGAGGGACATGTCCGCTGGTTCCGGGTTGGTTCCTGAGGAATTGGAAGTGTCACGAGATGTGGCTCTTGCTGGGCTGGTGCTCACTGGCCTCCCTTGTGCCTGTGCAGGAGGAGCTGATTAACTCAGTGGTCATCTCTCAGCTCTCCCACATCCCCGAGGATAAAGACCATCAGGTCCGAAAGCTGGCCACCCAGTTGCTGGTGGACCTGGCAGAGGGCTGCCACACACACCACTTCAACAGTCTGCTGGACATCATCGAGAAGGTGAGAGCCGTTGCACCCAGGGATGGGAGCTAGGGTGCCAGAGCTCCATGGGCAGAAATGGTCTCTGGTTCCTCTGTCCCCTTCTTCGAATGACCGGACGGCTGTCTCCGTAGGTGAGGCTCCCCTCCCTGCAGGATGGGTGTCCCGAGGCCTTTGCAGGGCCTGCCACTGCTGGGTTTGTGTCCCGACTGAAAGTCCTGGACCTGGGTGTCCTGTCGCACTCGGGGGCAGCTGGTCTGGGCCTCCTGGACCTGTGCTGGAGCCCAGACCTGGGGCCGGGGCTTTGGCCTGCTGTCCTTCCTGCCCAGCCAATAGCTTGCTCTTTGATTTTCAGGTTTGGTTTTTGCACAGGATATAAAGGGTATCTTTGCTTTTGAGGAATAAAGATGAAGGGTGAGCACAGTGGCTCACGCCTGTAATCCCAGCACTTTGGGAGGCCGAGGCCGGTGGATGGCTTGAGGTCAGGAGATCAAGACCAGCCTGGCGAACGTAGTGAAATCCCGTCTCTACTAAAAATACAAAAATTAGCCATGCGTGGTGGCGGGCGCCTGTAATCCCAGCTGCTCGGGAGGCTGAGGCAGGAGAATCGCTTGAACCTGGGAGGTGGAGGTTGCAGTGAGCCCAGATTCTGCCACTATACTTCAACCTGGGCGACAGAGCAAGGCTCCGTCTCAAAAAAAAAAAAAGAGAAGGTGTTTGTGGTAGAAAGTGTTCCGGCCGGGCGCGCTGGCTCAAGCCTGTAATCCCAGCACTTTGGGAGGCCGAGACGGGCGGATCACGAGGTCAGGAGATCGAGACCATCCTGGCTAACACAGTGAAACCCCGTCTCTACTAAAAAATACAAAAAACTAGCCGGGCGAAGTGGCGGGCGCCTGTAGTCCCAGCTACTCGGGAGGCTCAGGCGGGAGAATGGCATGAACCCGGGAGGCGGAGCTTGCAGTGAGCTGAGATCCGGCCAGTACACTCCAGCCTGGGCAACAGAGCGAGACTCCGTCTCAAAAAAAAAAAAAAAAGTGTTCTGACGGCTGTTGCCACAGAGATCTGTGAGCCTGCATGTGAGTCCTGGCCTTCTCTTTAAAGGTGATGGCCCGCTCCCTCTCCCCACCCCCGGAGTTGGAAGAAAGGGATGTGGCCGCGTACTCGGCGTCCTTGGAGGATGTGAAGACAGCTGTCCTGGGGCTTCTGGTCATCCTTCAGGTGGGTGTTCTGCAGGAGGCCTCTGCGCCCTGGGTGCACATGGCTAGCTGCTGTGCACCAGCTACATCTGCGTTGTGTTGGAGTCTTCCCCAGCGGGAGCCGTGCCCTGCCTGGGTTTGCTGAGGGTGCAGTGGTCCTGGCAGGCAGCGGAAGCTTCCTGCTCTTGTGGAGGGATGGAAAGAGATTCTGTTGCTTGCCTCTCCTGGTCACAGCAGGGATGCGAGAGGCCCTGTTCTCCGCACTGAGCAGAGCCTGTCTCTGTGCTCCTGAGTCAGGGCCGGGACCATGTGCCATCCTGGGCACCCAGCACAGCACCTGGCAAGTAAGGGTGGCCCTCCATTCCCGCCCTGCAGTCTGTTTAGTATTTGCAGGTGTTTTGTTGAGATTTGATTCACATATCATGCAATTTACCCGTTCACAGTGAACAATTCAGTGGTTTTCAGTAAATTCACAGAACTCTGCAGCCATCCCCACAGTCAGCTTGAGCACCTCCTGAGCATGTCGGTAGTACACGCTCCCATCCCCCGTTGCTCCCTTACCCCCAGGTACCACCAAGCTGTTTCCTGTCTCTGTGGATTTGCCTACTCTGAACATTTCATGGAAGTGGAGTCACACATAATTCATCCACAAGATGTTGGATGGTAGAACAATTTCCTGTCTTGTGGCTGGATTGTTCCACCCAGCGCCATGCGTCCAGGCCCATCTAGGTTGTGGCAGCTGTCGGTGCTTCCTTCCTTTTCATGGCTGAGTAGTAGTCCATCATCTGGAGGGAGCACATTTTGTCTATTTGCTTCTCCATTGGTGGACATTTGGCTTGTGTCCACCTGGCAGCTGCGGTGTTGGTGCTGCTGTGAACCGTCTCCTGTGAGGGCTCCGCCTGCATTTTCACTTCGCCTGGGTCAGCACCTGGGAGCGGATTGTTGGGCCCTAGGTTTAGTGTGCATGTGATGTTTCTAGGTGATACCGGGCTGTTTTCCACTGGTGCTGTGCCATTTTCCATCCACTTGAGCAGCATGTAAGGGTTCTGATTTATCTTTTTTTTTTTTCAATGCAGTCTTACTCTGTCGCCCAGGCTGGAGTGCAGTGGCGTGATCTTGGCTCACTGCATCCTTCTCCTGCTGGGTTCAGGCAATTCTCCTGCCTCAGCCTCCCGAGTATCTGGGACTACCGGCGCCCGCCAACACACTCAGCCAATTGTTTGTATTATTAGTAGAGACTGGGTTTCACCATGTTGGCCAGGCTAGTCTCAAACTCCTGACCTCAGGTGATCCGCCTGCCTTGGCCTCCCATAGTGCTGGAATTACAGGCGTGAGCCCCTGCGCCCAGCCTGCCTCTAGTTTTCAAAGCCTCACAGCATCACTTAGGGGTAATTATCAGTGTCAGTATCGTGTAAAATACAACGTGTGAATCAGTTTGCTCAAAAGCTCATCCATAAGATGTTGGATGGTAGAACCATTTCGTATCATGTTGATTTGTCATGGTCTTTTATTTCTTGCCACGGAAGTTTAAAGTGGTGATTAATTTTTTATTATTCATATTTTGAGACAAGATCTCACTCTGTCACCCAGGCTGGGGTGCAGTGCTGTGATCATAGCTCACTGCAGCTTCGAACTCCCGTGCTGAAGTGATCATCCTACCTCAGCCTCCCAAGTAGCTGCGACCATAGGCACACGTCACACACCTGGCTGATGTTTTCATTTTTGGTAGAGATGGGGTCTTGCTGTGTTGCCCAGGCTGGCATCAACCTCCTGGCCTCAAGCAATTCTCCCACCATAGCCTCCCAAAGTGCTGGGATTTCAGGCGTGAGCCGCCACGCCTGGCCGTGGTGTTTGATTAAAAACCAGGCATCTGGGAAGGGGTGTGCTGGGCCGTGGGGGCCTATGGCCTGGAAGAACTGAGAACCTCCCTGTTTCTGCAGAGGGAAGGAAAAAGGTTCTGTTGTCCTTACTTGGAACTCCAGCCCTGGAGGCCTGAGGGTCTGGGCCGTAGAACTGAGATATTTCCTAGTTGAGGCAAAGTCCTGGTTTTGGCTGTTTTCATTTCTTTACTTTTTGAGACAGTTTCCCCACTATGTCACTGGAGTGCAGTGGCATGATCTCACCTCACTGCAACCTCTGCTTCCCGGATTTAAGCGATTCTCCTGCCTCGGCCTCCCAAGTAGCTGGGACTACAGGTACCTGCTTCCACACCCGGCTAAATTTTGTATTTTTAGTGGAGACGGGGTTTCACCATGTTGGCCAGGCTGGTCTCGAACTCCTGACCTCAAGTAATCCACCCAATCCAGACTCCCAAAGTGTTGGGATTATAGGCGTGAGCCATCGTGCCTGGCCTGTTTTCATTTCTTTTGTTATTGAAAAGTAACACAGATGACTGTTGAATAGTATGGAGCTGGGGGTGCTGGCCCCTGTGCAGGTGAAAATCCCCATCTAACTTTTGACTCCCCAGAAACTTTACCAACAGCCCCCTGTTGACTAGAAGCCTTGCCAATAACAGTTGATTAACTTGCAGTTTGTATGTTTTATGTGTTATATTCTGTGTTTTTACAGTGAAGTAAGCTAGAGAAAAGCAAATGCTATTAAGATGCTGGGCGTTGTGGCTCACACCTGTAATCCCAGCACTTTGGGAGGCCAAGGCAGGCAGATCACGAGGTCAGGAGTTCGAGACCAGCCTGACCAACATGGTGAAACCCTGTCTCTACTAAAAATACAAAAATTAGCTGGACGTGGTGGCGCACACCTGTAATCCCAGCTACTTGGGAGGCTGAGGCGGGGGAATCGCTTGAACCCGGGAGGTGGAGGTTGCAGTGAGCTGAGATCACACCACTGCACTCCAGCCTGGGCGACAGAGCAAGACTGCGTCTCAGAAAAAGAAAAAAATCATAAGCAAAATACATTTCCTGTTGCTTACGTGGAAGTGGCTCATCACCATGGTCTTCATTCTTGTCATCCTCATGTGGAGGGGCTGAGGAGGAAGGGGAGGAGATGCATGGTCTTGCTCTCTTGGATGGGAGAGGTGGAAGAAAATTGGCATATAAGTGATCACTGAGGCCAGCCTCATGCTGTTCAAGGGTCAGAGTTTGCAGAATGGACACGGTGACAAGTTTGATTCCCCTTTTCCTGCCTGCCCAGTGGGCCCAGCAGGGCAGCACCTGCTGTTGGTCCCGTGTGGCCTTCCTGGAGTAGGGGGTGCCAGGCACTGTGTGAACCCCCACCTCCACCTCTTTTTTCTCCAAGGCAGAGATACTGCTTTTATGTTGTAATATTTTGAGATAAGGAGAAACTGTTAATCATTTAATCATCTTTTTTTTGTTGTTGTTGTTTTGTTTTTGTTTTTTGAGACGGAGTTTCGCTCTGTCGCCCAGGCTGGAGTGCAGTGGCGCGATCTCGGCTCACTGCAAGCTCCGCCTCCTGGGTTTACGCCATTCTCCTGCCTCAGCCTCTGGAGTAGCTGGGACTACAGGCGCCCGCCACTGCGCCCGGCTAATTTTTTGTATTTTTAGTAGAGACGGGGTTTCACCGTGGTCTCGATCTCCTGACCTTGTGATCCGCCCGCCTCGGCCTCCCAAAGTGCTGGGATTACAGGTGTGAGCCACCGCGCCAGGCCTTTTTTTTTTTTTTTTTAAGGTGGAGCCTCACGCTGTCGCCCAGGCTGGAGTGCAGTGGCACGATCTTGGTTCACTACAACCTCTGTCTCCTGGGTTCAAGCAGTTCTCCTGCCTCAGCCTCCCAAGTAGCTAGGATTACAGGCATGCACCACCATGCCTGGCTAATTTTTTTTTTTTTTTTTTTGAGACAGTCTTGCTCTGTTGTCTAGGCTGGAGTGCAGTGACGCGATTTCAGCTTACTGCAAGCTCCGCCTCTCATGTTCATGCCATTCTCCTGCCTCAGCCTCCCAAGTAGCTAGGATTACAGGCACCGGCCACTGCACCTGGCTAATTTTTTTGTTTTTAGTAGTGACGGGGTTTCAGCGTGTTAGCCAGGATGGTCTCGATTTCCTGACCTCGTGATCCGCCCACTTCATCCTCCCAAAGTGCTGGGATTCCAGGCGTGAGCCACTGCGTCTGGCCTAATTTTGTATTTTTAGTAGAGGTGGGGTTTCTCCATGTTGGTCAGGCTGGTCTTGAACTCCTGACCTCGTGGTCCGCCCACCTCAGCCTCCCAAGGTGCTGGGATTACAGGCGTGAGCCATCACACCTGGCCTCAGTCATTTCTTTAAATGATTCTTTAATCATTTAAAGGTGTTAATCATTTCTTTAAAAGAATAACAGAGTAAGTTTTGTAAATGCTACCACTCACCTCCCGAGTAGGCTGGATTTCCCCTGGCTCCTGCTGGCCCCGGCCCCAAGGTTGCTGGAGGCACCAGGTGCTCTCACACCTTGCCTCACCTGTCAGGGAGGTTCCCTTGGCCTTTCGGGAGGGGCCGCCTACACCTGGGATCGCCCCTGCAGCGCACACTCCCCGCCCTATTCTGCCCCCTCTGACGTGCAGCTGGAGCTTCTCCATGGATGGACTCTTCCTCAGCTGTTGATGGTTGCCCTGATGAGATGGGCACGAGGTTGGGTTTTACTTTTTGCGGCTGTGGAGAGCGAGCCCTGGTGGTCCTGGGTTTGGGGGTCATGTGTTTTCTTTTTATTTTTTTTTGAGACGGAGTCTCACGCTGTTGCCCAGGCTGGAGTGCAGTGGCGCGATCTCGGCTCACTGCAAGCTCCGCCTCCTGGGTTTACGCCATTCTCCTGCCTCAGCCTCTGGAGTAGCTGGGATTACAGGCGCCCGCCACCGCGCCCGGCTAATTTTTTGTATTTTTAGTAGAGACGGGGTTTCACCGTGGTCTCGATCTCCTGACCTTGTGATCCGCCCGCCTCGGCCTCCCAAAGTGCTGGGATTACAGGCGTGAGCCACCGCGCCCGGCCGGGGGTCAGGTGTTTTCAAGTGCGCGCTCTAGACAGGCCGTCCTGGCCCCGCCCCCGGACAAGGTGCTGTCTTAGGCTGCGTTTTCAGCCCCTGCGCCGTGGTGAGCTGCGTCCTCTCTCTGCAGACTAAGCTGTACACCCTGCCTGCGAGCCATGCCACGCGCGTTTATGAGATGCTGGTCAGCCACATTCAGCTCCACTACAAGCACAGCTACACCCTGCCAATCGCCAGCAGCATCCGGCTGCAGGTACGGTGGCCTGCGGTGGGCAGCCAGTTCCTGGGGGCCCAGCCAGGTGTCCCCATTTCAGCAGTTGCAGTTCATGGAAGCTGCACAGACAGCCCCAGGATGGGGCCTCAGCTGACCGTCCCTCCTCTGCACCCACTGTGGCCGCAGCCTCCCCAGCCCTGGTGTCCTTCCCTCTGCCTGCAGTCCACGCATCTGTGGCTTGTCACTCTAAGCCGCACGGTGGCATAGGTTGGGGCAGAGAAAAGGAAGCACGGCGACTTCCGGGGCAGTGCATGGCCCTGACGCTCCTGATGCTGCAGAATTTGTGAAGGACGTGCAGCAGAGGGCTGGGCAGGTGGGCAGCACGGGGCAGGGCTGAGAGGGGAGGGCTGGGCAGAGCAGGGCTGGAGGAACTGTGCTGAGTTTGTCCTATGGATGTTGGCACCAGGCTGAGCAGAGGTGACTGGGATGGGAGCCCTCCCTCCTACAGCAGGTGCTCTCTGGGGCCACCCCTGTGACCTCAGAGTCCTGTTCAGCCTGTGAGTGGAAGAAGTGGCAGGGCTGGAAGCTGAGCTCCGCTTTCTGGCAGTTGAGGGCGTGTGGTGCTGCCAGAGGAGCAAGGCGCCCATCCCCTCCATCCCAGGCGGGCCCAGCTGTGGTGGTGGGGACATCAGGCTCTGTGAGCTCTGAGGCAAGCAGGGAGGGAAGAGGCTGTGGGTGCTGGGCCTCCAGTGTCACCAGGACAGAGCCTGTGTCTGTGTTGGGATGTGGGTGTGTGCACATCAGCAGGTGGCCTTTTCTGAGTGCCGTGTGGTACGGGACGTGGGTCCGAGCAGGTGGGGCGCCGCCTCTCCTGGGCCTGCATGAGCCTGGCTCTGGATTTCCCTGTCCTCTCCCTGACAGGCCTTTGACTTCCTGTTGCTGCTGCGGGCCGACTCACTGCACCGCCTCGGCCTGCCCAACAAGGATGGGGTCGTGCGGTTCAGCCCCTACTGCGTCTGCGACTACATGTACGCGGGACCTCCCCCACAGCCCATGAGGCTCAGGGCGTCAGGCGCTGGGGCCGTGGTGGCAGCTGGGCGCATGTCTGAGGGACGTCCCAGGGTTGGGAGGAACCGAGTCCGCTCTGTTCCTTCTGTGGGGACTTGGCCTCAGCTGCTTCTCTTGCTTCTGCAGGGAGCCGGAGAGAGGCTCTGAGAAGAAGGCCAGCGGCCCCCTTTCTCCTCCCACAGGGCCACCTGGCCCGGCGCCTGCAGGCCCGGCTGTGCGGCTGGGCTCCCTGCCCTACTCCCTGCTCTTCCGCGTCCTGCTGCAGTGCTTGAAGCAGGTGAGTGGGGTGAGTGGGGCCAGGCAAGGACTATCCGTCCCACGTTGGGCCAGGAGGACGGGGAGCTGCTACCTGCCTGCTAGGCCTCCCTCCCTGCCTGGCCCGTGGAGGGCAACCGTCCCTCAGAGCTGAGCCTTCCCCCTTCGCTGAGCAGCTGCAGGGACACAGGCCTGTGCTGGGCAGGCTCCCCCTGGCTGAGAACGGGGCTCCCGGGCCCTTGCTGCTGTCCAGCCACAAGCAGAGCCTCAGATGCTAGGCTTCCACCTCTGTCTCCAGGGTCCAGAAGGCCCTGTCCTGACGCCGCCTCTCCTTGCAGGAGTCTGACTGGAAGGTGCTGAAGCTGGTTCTGGGCAGGCTGCCTGAGTCCCTGCGCTACAAAGTACTCATCTTTACCTCCCCTTGCAGTGTGGACCAGCTGTGCTCTGCTCTCTGCTCCATGGTAGCGTGGCCGGCCTGGGGTTGGGGTGGGGGACGCGGTGGGATTCTTCCCGAAAAGACTGCGAGCCTCTGGGCAGAGCAAGTGAGACCCTCCAGGCTGGGGCTCCATTTCCCTCAGACGCAGCTGCACTCTCAAGCAGATTGTGCCTTTGGCAGGGTGGAGGGACCCCTGCCCCCACTCGCAGCTTTTGGGACCGACGTCAGAGGTCCCTAGCCAAGGGCATGTCACTGAGTGTGGATGCCTCTCATCCTTTTCCTGAGCGGGGCTCCCATGCTGTTCACATCGCATTCCTGGTGTGTTCCTTGGCAGACACTCCCACCACTCTGAAAGGGAGACCCTTCCTAGGAGGGAGGCAGGAAGGCTCCCCAACCCCTTGGCCCCCTTTCCTGGGCCTGCGTTCCCAGGGCCTCCCCGGCCCCTCTGGCTACCCCATGACCTGGCTGCTGGGGAGGGGTTTCATGCCTGGATTTGATCATCAGCTTTCAGGCCCAAAGACACTGGAGCGGCTCCGAGGCGCCCCGGAAGGCTTCTCCAGAACTGACCTGCACCTGGCTGTGGTTCCAGTGCTGACGGCATTAATCTCTTACCATAACTACCTGGACAAAACCAAACAGGTAGGAGGTCACAGCAGGACAGGCCAGCTTGGTGGGGCCTGGGATTCCAGGACTTGGCCCAGGTAGGCCCCACATTGTTCTCATAAATGGGTTTCTGCCAGGCCAGGGGTGAGTGAGCTGGCTCTGCTTCCCCGGGTGGCTGCCAGGTGCCCAGCGTGGGGGCATCCGATTCCCCCGGTGCTTCTAGCTCTCTCAGGCCTGGGAGCCCTCCGGTGTCCCCGTCCACCCCGGCAGTGTCTCCGCTCCCTGCGGAGTGCTGCCTGGCCTGTCCCTGCTGTCCCATGGGGCAGGTGGCCATGCCGTTGGGTGGAGCGGGGCTGGTTCTGAGGCGCAGGGCGGGCAGGCCAGAGGCCTTGGCTTCTGCCTCTCTCCACACCCACCATCAGGTGCTGGAAACTCACAGAGGCACCGTGCCTTCACCCGCGATCTGCCTTAGGTCCCCCGTCCCAGTCGCATTCCTCCACACCTCTCTTTGATGTGGCCCTCCGGGATGAGGAGCTGGTATCCTAGAGATTCTGGCTCCCACTCAGGGCCATGCCCGCCAGGAGCTGAGACTCGGCCCGTCTGTGCCCCAGGCCTCAGCTCCTGACGGAGGCCCTGTGGGGAGGTGATGTCGAGTTCCCACCCCTCAGGCTCAGCCCCACCATACTGGGCCACTTCAGCCCCTCTGAGAGGCTCCCCAGGTCCTCACAGGTCTTGCCCCAAAGCATAGCCAGCCTTGCTGGGCTGCAGGTTCTGAGGCCTTACTGGCCCATAGTGTATCCGAGGGCTGAGGCCGGCTTTGGGAAACGGAAGCTGTTCCCGGGACACTGCCTGGCAGGCCGTCTGGCCCCAGGCTCTGCCTGAGTGCCGCTCATCTTCTGCTGTCCTCATGGAAGACACTGCCCAGGGTTGGTGTGGGATCTGGCGGTCTCGCCACTTCAGGCAGCGCAGCCCCTTGCAACAGAGCCAGCCTGTTAGGACCCCAGGAGCGGGCGATGAGATCCCAGTGTGTCTGGGTTCTGTTGGCCTGTGGGATGGTGTCGGAATGCAACTGACCGGAGCAGTCTGCTGTGCAGAGTCTGCTCGAGTAGCTCAGCGCCGGTGGCTCTGCCCCATAGGCATTCAGGGACTTCCTAAGCCTTGGCCCTTCTCCCGGTGGAGCGCTCGAGGTTGGTGAGAGGGAGGCGAGGTTGCCTCTGCTGCGGGCGGGTGGGGCTTGAGACGCCCTGTCTCCTGCAGCGCGAGATGGTCTACTGCCTGGAGCAGGGCCTCATCCACCGCTGTGCCAGCCAGTGCGTCGTAGCCTTGTCCATCTGCAGCGTGGAGATGCCTGACATCATGATCAAGGCGCTGCCCGTCCTGGTGGTGAAGCTCACACACATCTCGGCCACAGCCAGCATGGCCGTCCCGCTGCTGGAGTTCCTGTCCAGTGAGTCCCCGCCCTGCCTGCACATGCACCCCTGAGGTTCGGGCTGTGCCCTGTGTGGAATACCTTGTGTGGGCTTCTCTGATGCCCTCTCAGGACTCCTTGGGGAACCTGAGTGTCTCACCTGCTGTTGCCTCAGGGCCTGGGTGTCTCTGCCTGGCTGCTGTGAGTGCTCTCCCTCCTGGCCTTGAGGGGCGGCTCCTCTCACCCCCGTAGTGTCCATGTGAACGCCCCTCCTTGAAGAAGCCTCTTCCCCCTGAGCCTTGGCCCTGCCCTGGTTCTGGGCCTCCTCTCTGTCCATCAGAGCACACATTGCTTCATGGGGGCTTTGTTCGCTTCCCCCAGACTGACTTCAGGAGCTCAGGTGCCTGCCCCTTCCGCTTGTGCATCTGGGCGGGCCCTCAATGTTTAGATGGCAGAAGGGCACTGCTGGGCCAGCACTTCGTGTAGAGGCTGGAGAGGAGATTGTGTGTACTTTGTGGGCCACATACGGGTCCTGTCAGTCTTTCTGTTTTGTTTATAATCCTTTAGAAGCATAGAAGCCTGGCCGGGCGTGATGGCTCATGCCTGTAATCCTAGCACTTTGGGAGGCTGAGGTGGGTGGATCACCTGAGGTCAGGAAATCGAGACCAGCCTGGCCAACCTGGCAAAAGCCCGTCTGTACTAAAAATACAAAAATTAGCTGGGCATGGTGGCGGGTGCCTTTAGTTCCAGCTACTCGGGAGGCTGAGGCAGGAGAATCTCACGAACCCGGGAGGCGGAGCTTGCAGTGAGCGGAGATCACGCCCCAGCACTCCAGCCTGGGCGACAGAGCAAGATTCCGTCTCAAAAAAAAAGTGTGGAAGGCTTTCCTCACAGGTCACACAAATGGCAGGCCACAGCTGGAATTGGCCTGGGAGCCGTGGTTGGCTGGCCATGGGACGGACAGCTGAGGCCAGGGTCGGGAAAGCCCCGTCCGTGTGACTGTGGCCTTCCCTCCTCTGCAGCACCCCGTTGCTGTCGTGGGCAGAGCAGCCTGTTGCCTTTAGAGGCCCTGCACGGGACCCCGGCTCCCCTGACCACTGTCTTTGTTACTGCAGCTCTGGCCAGGCTGCCGCAGCTCTACAGGAACTTCGCCGCGGAGCAGTATGCCAGTGTGTTCGCCATCTCACTGCCGTACACCAACCCCTCCAAGTGAGTGGCCGCCCCAGGTCCCGTGCCTCCAGCCCTGGCCAGGCCTTGCAGCAGAAAGCCCTGGCAGCCTTGGTGCCCAAGGCCTGAGCGCCTCTGCTTTTTGCACTTCATGCCCTGGGGACGTTTCCCTGGTGCCAGGATGGAGTGCCAGCCCCCTTCTCGTCTCAGGTTTAATCAGTACATCGTGTGTCTGGCCCATCACGTCATAGCCATGTGGTTTATCAGGTGCCGCCTGCCCTTCCGGAAGGATTTTGTCCCTTTCATCACTAAGGTAGGCCCAGGGCCGGCGAAGGCTGTGTCCCTTGACAGGCCAGGGCTTGCTTTGCCCTTGGCTGTCCATGGCTAGGGCAGAGTGATGACGGGCAGGCAGAGGGCAGTGGGAGGGTGTTTGGGGCTGTGCCTGTGGCGCTGGGGGCTCTGCTGGGCAGCCTGAAGGGGTTTGATGCATGGTGGGCATGGAGGGGTGGGAGCTGGTGCTGCTGCCTTGCCCTCAGCGAGCAGCTTGTCCCCGGCCAGGGGGCACCCGGCAGGCCTGTTGAGGGCTGGGCCTCCACCCCCCATTGCCACCCCTCACTGTCCGGGCCTGCTCATTCTGCCAGGGCCTGCGGTCCAATGTCCTCTTGTCTTTTGATGACACCCCCGAGAAGGACAGCTTCAGGGCCCGGAGTACTAGTCTCAACGAGAGGCCCAAGAGGTACGGCCTGCAGGGGTGTGCCTGACATCGGTGTGGGCGGGGAAGGACGTGGGGCTGTGGCCTGGCTGACGGTGCCTCCAGGTCAGTGAGTCGAAATGGGTCCTGTGGCTGGGGGCCAAGGTGCCCTGGAGTATGTGAGGCAGGGCAAGACCTGCAAGGGCCGCTAACACCCCTCAGCCCCTCACCAGGTTGGCCATGGTGGCCTGCAGCACGGTAGCACCATGGCCTGGGTCCTGGCCGCTCGTGCCACACGCACCTACTTGTGGAGTTGGGGAATAGGGTGCAAGCTGTAGGCGCCTGAGCCCCTTGAAGGAGCCCGGCCTTGTCTGGGGCTCCCCCCTCCTCTGCAGCCCCCAGCCTGCCGCCAGCCAGGGACTCTGCTTCACCATCACTGCCGCCTTGCCAGATCGCAAAGAGCTGAGCTGGCCTCTGTGTTCTTGTTTGCATTTCATTTGAACGGCTTTCTCCTCCCGTCCCCCACCTTCCTGCCCAAGCTATTTTGGCTTTCCCTAGATGGGAATACGGCATTTTCCAGCGTGACCTCAGCTCGGAAGCTGTTCTCTGGAGCCCCTGGGGGCTCGGGGTCAAGCTCGGCCATTTCAGCCAGAGACTCCTTTCTGGGGTCTTGGTTTCTTTTCCTAGTGACCTTCAGGGCCTGGCCACTGAGGCCTCCGTGCCTCCTCGGTCAGAGCTGGGCGGTGTCTGCCTTCCACGGGTGGTGGGATCGCCTGGCCAGCACAGCCTGGAATCTGCCGTGGGGGTGGCCCACACACGTTTAATTTGCACTGATGTTTGTTTTGGTGTCATGCGTGAAGCCTTACTTTTCCTCAGTCATGTTTACCAGATGTATTATCATGCATTTTTGTTTTCTGTCTCTTCCCCGCTAACTGCCCTTTGGCATGGCTCTTTTGCTCATCTCACCCGCGGGATCTCTCCATCCTGACCCTGTGGCCTGGGACCTTTCCTCCTCACCCCTCCACTGGCTTGTTCTCCCCTCCCGGGAGCTGGGCTCTCTGGGGCGTTGGGGCTCCTTCCTCACCCGATAGTCTGAGGATAGCCAGACCCCCCAAACAAGGCTTGAATAACTCTCCACCCGTGAAAGAATTCAAGGAGAGCTCTGCAGCCGAGGCCTTCCGGTGCCGCAGCATCAGTGTGTCTGAACATGTGGTCCGCAGGTAGCGGGACTGTGTTGGGTGGGGGGCACGGACCCTGGAGCTTGGCCCCGTGAGCACCTGGGTGGCACTGCATGGGGCTGCTTGCATGACCTCGTCGTCTGCCCGTGTCCTCCCTGGCCAGCCCAGGGGGAGCTGGTGACGAGGGGTGGAAGGGTTGCATTCTGTCCCCAGGCCCCGTATGAGCACGGGCTGGCTGCACGCATTCCTAGGCCCCTTCAGGGTGCCGCTCGGAGACAGCCAGGCGTGCCGGGCAGCGGCTTCCACAGGCTGTCCCCAAGGGCCGCAGTGCTGGTTGGGGGAGACACCACTCCTGGTTTTGGCCTTTTCGTATTCTCTAGAACAGACGTTTTTCCTTGGGCTCTCTTCTCAACAGGGTTTATTTTTTGTTGTAGCTGAAAGGGAATAAGGGGCATTTGGGGAGGGTGCTGGGGTGGGGCCAGCCTGGGAGGGTCTGGGTGGGGGCCAGGATCCTCCAGGGCATGGGCCTGGGCCCCAGGCCACGGCTTCAGTCAGTTCTCCCTGCGGTGTCTGCGTGCAAATATGGGCTCTCGGGCTCTCGGCTGTCTCCTGCCTGGGGGTCACCGCTGCTGGCACTGGCAGAGGGGATATCTATCTCCTCCTGGAAGCCCGTTGCAGCCCAAGGGGTCCCACAGCCCTGAGTCCATCCACCTCCTTGCCTCAGGCCGGCCTCTGCTGTGCGGGACTTGGCCAGGGGTTGGGGTGGTAGGGGTGCTCGGTGAAGCTTAAAGCCGTTTTCTAGCACCTTCTGTATCATGAGCAAAATATTGCCTAGGGGCTATGAAATGTGTATCAGAATGAACCCCCCGGAAGCCTCTTCCCCGTCAGTTAGTGTGACTGGTCACTGGCTGTGGAGCCCCGGCAGCCGCTTGCCTGTCACTTACGTGTGACTGGTCACTGGCTGTGGAGCCCCGGCAGCCGCTTGCTTGTCACTTAGTGTGACTGGTCACTGGCTGTGGAGCCCCGGCAGCCACTTGCCTGTCACTTACGTGTGACTGGTCACTGGCTGTGGGGCCCCGGCAGCTGCTTGCCTGCCTGGGAGTGAGGGTGAAAGGCCACGCGGGGATCCCAGACCTCTGTGTGCTCGCCGGAGGCAGCCTGCGGGCAGAATGCAACGTGGGCCTATCTGCGTGGCCTCCGCCTCTCTGCATGACTACACTGTTTCGCCATGAGGCCGTCACCTAGTGCTCCCGTGGGCTTTGGTGAGGGGGTGTCTGTCTCTCTAGCCTCCTGAGTCTGCTCTGACCAATGGGCCTGGTCTTCCCCCCGCGGCGTCTCCCCGTTCTCTGGGGTGATGTGGTCCACGTGATGCTCAAGCCGAGGCTCGCTGGGCCGCCCACACCCTGTTGGGTTCTTTCCGAGCGAGTTCCTCGGCCGTGCATGCATTGAGCTTTGATCCCTTGGTGATAGGCGGCTCGGCCCGCCCTGCCTGGCACCCTGACCCCGGTTGCGGCCTCTCCCTCCAGCAGGATACAGACGTCCCTCACCAGTGCCAGCCTGGGGTCTGCAGACGAGAACTCCGTGGCCCAGGCTGACGATAGCCTGAAAAGCCTCCATCTGGAGCTCACGGAAACCTGTCTGGACATGATGGCCCGATACGTCTTCTCCAACTTCACAGCTGTCCCGAAGAGGTGCAGGCAGCACTCCAGGGCTGGGCGGGCCTTCGGGAGCCGAGGCATGCGGGAGCTCCACGGGCGAGCTGGGTTTCACGCTCCCTGTCTTCTAGGTCTCCTGTGGGCGAGTTCCTCCTGGCGGGTGGCAGGACCAAAACCTGGCTGGTTGGGAACAAGCTTGTCACTGTGACGACGAGTGTGGGAACCGGGACCCGGTCGTTACTAGGCCTGGACTCGGGGGAGCTGCAGTCCGGCCCGGAGTCGAGGTGACTGCACCTTCCTTCTCTCCATGCCTGCCAGCCTCGACACTGGCTGTCCCAAGCCCATGCCCACGAGGCACCCTCGTGCCAACCTGGGGACTGAGTCCACCCTGTGCACCTCTTCTTAGCTCCAGCCCCGGCATGAATGTGAGACAGACGAAGGAGGCGCCAGCCAAGCTGGAGTCCCAGGCTGGGCAGCAGGTGTCCCGTGGGGCCCGGGACCGGGTCCGTTCTATGTCAGGTGAGCCTTGGCCCCAGCCACTCCCACACAGGCACCAGGGCTCCCTCAGTGGCTGCTGCTGGTCCCAGTGTTCAGGAAGGCCCCTGAGCCCAGAGGCCGGGGTGGCTGGCTTCAGGGCTGGCCCACGTCCTGACTCGGGGTGAGGCTTCCACAGCTTAGCCCACAGCCGTGGAGTGGCGGAGTGTGGCCCGCTCACTGCAGAGGGGCCTGTTCTGGGAGCCGGTGTTTCCTGTGGGTCTTTAGCCCGGCTCAGTCCTGGAGCCGCCTCTGCTCCAGGGAGCCATGGTCTGACTGCAGGGCAGGTTCTGGGTCCCTCCCTGTGGCCCGGGGTCCACTGAGGCCAGTGCTGTGGTGGGCTGTGCTTCAAGGGCAGAGCTGCCACCCTCTCTGGCTCCCTGTGGCACCAGCCTGCCAGGCCCGGGGGAGCATTCAGCTTTAGGCTGGTGGTTTTGCATCAGGTAGGTGGTGCTCACCAGTCCTCCGCCCTCCTCTTCAGGGGGCCATGGTCTTCGAGTTGGCGCCCTGGATGTGCCGGCCTCCCAGTTCCCGGGCAGTGCCGCTTCTCCAGGACCACAGACTGCACCAGCCGCGAAGCCTGAGAAGGCCTCGGCCGGCGCCCGGCTTCCTGTGCAGGAGAAGACGAACCTGGCCGCCTACGTGCCCCTGCTGACCCAGGGCTGGGCGGAGATCCTGGTCCGGAGGCCCACAGGTACTGGGCGGGGCTGGCCTGGGCCCCGTCCCTCTGCCAGTCACCCACAGAGCTGTGGACACACGGGCGATTGCAGACTTGGCCGTCTTGGGGTATTTGGGGGTAACTTTTTCTCCCCCCCGAACAGAGTGTCGCTCTGTCGCCCAGGCTGGAGTGCGGTGGCGCGATCTCGGCTCACTGCAAGCTCCGCCTCCCAGGTTCACACGATTCTCCTGCCTCAGCCTCCCAAGTAGCTGGGACTACAGGCGCCGCCACCTCGCCTGGCCAATTTTTTTGTATTTCTAGTAGAGACGGGGTTTCACCGTGTTAGCCAGGATGGTCTCGATCCCCTGACCTCGTGATCAGCCTGCCTCAGCCTCCCACAGTGCTGGGATTACAGGCGTGAGCCACCGTCCTGGCCATTTGGGGGTACTTTTAAGTCTCCAGAGGTGAGCTGCGAGGGGCGATCCAGGTGGCCGAGGTGGGGCAGGGGCCTGTAGTGAACCAAGTGGCTTCCACGGCAGAGAGTCGCCCTCCGCGCCTGGAGGCTGGAAGTCTGAGATCCAGGTGCTGCTTGGCAGGAGCTGCTTCTCGGAGGCCTCAGTCCTTGGCCTGCAGCGGCTTTTCCCCTGTGTCCTCACAGGCTCTTTCCTGGGTGTCTGCGTGTTAATCTTAGGAGGAGACCAGCCGTGGCTTGGTCCACTCTGGTGCCTTGTTAGCCTTAATTACCTTTCCTCTGAAACCCAGTCTCCAGAGACGGTCCTGTTCCGAGTTCCTGGGGTTGGGATTAAAGCACACCAACATGGGGGGCACAGCTCAGCCTCTTCCCAGAGGCAGAGGGAGGCCTGTGCAGAGGCCCAGAGCCCAGGGCCGCCTGGGTGTGGCTGAGGGGTGCGAGGAGTGGGGTTCCGGCCCTCCTGGAGGCCTCGGGTCCGGACTGTGAGGCTGTGGGCTGGAGGCTGCCGCTCACAGGTGCCTCCCCAGGCTTGGCCGAGCCTGGCCTCGGGACCGGAGCTGATGGGGGCGGCAGGGTGGTGGCCGCCAGCGCTGGCTCTGACATTGTGGTCCTGAGGATCGTGGGAGGGAGCATCAGGGCAAAACCAGGGCCCAGCCAGGCGGCCTCCCGGGGGCCAGGGATGGGCATGGGGCGGCGCTGGCCTCAGGCCAAAGGTGCTGCCGCCTCTGCAGGGAACACCAGCTGGCTGATGAGCCTGGAGAACCCGCTCAGCCCTTTCTCCTCGGACATCAACAACATGCCCCTGCAGGAGCTGTCCAACGCCCTCATGGCAGCTGAGCGCTTCAAGGAGCACCGGGACACAGCCCTGTACAAGTCGCTGTCGGTGCCAGCAGCCAGCACGGCCAAACCCCCTCCTCTGCCTCGCTCCAACACAGGTGGGTGGCATGGCGGGCCTTAGCATGGGCTCTGCTCCCACTGGCCTGGTGCTCCTGGTGACGGCAACATGGCTGCTCTCCGCTGAGGGCACCTACACGGCTGGGGGTGGCCCCTGGCCTGCCTCAGCACAGTCATCCTCTGGTGTCTGGGAGAAGGCTGGCCTATGGGAGGTGCCTGCCCTCTCAGGAAACTGGAGCTGGCAGTGTCAAAAGCAGTAGGGGCCCTGTGGAGCCTTTGCCCAGCACTCTCCATGGGGAGTCCAGCACTGCAAGCTCCAGGAGGCTCCGCGGCAGCCTCCCTCCCTGCCTGGGCCTGGGTTTGGACACCTAGGCCCACCTGCACACTCTCGGTCCCCACCCCACTCGGCACCGTGCTTCTCGCCAGACCCTCTGGCCCTTCTCTGTGGCTGCAGATGGCACTTAGCAGCCTAGGATGTCTACTCACGGGAAGAGGAGGCCCAGCCCTCCTCAGGTCCGCCCGAGCAGCTTCCAGCTCTGGGCCCCGTGCGCGCCCCTGCCGGCCGCTGGCCCTGCCCTCTCTCCTCTGCAGGCACGGGGCCTGTGCTCTCTGCTCGACCTGTGTGTAGCCCTCCTCCTGCTGACGTGGCCGCGCACGGCCTTCCCTTGCAGTGGCCTCTTTCTCCTCCCTGTACCAGTCCAGCTGCCAAGGACAGCTGCACAGGAGCGTTTCCTGGGCAGGTATTGGCGCGCCTCTCGAAGGGAAGCGGTTCGCTGCAGAGCGCCACTCTGCCTCATAGATGCTGTGCTCATCGCCTCATCCGCCCGCCCCCATGGTCCGTCTGGCCTCCATTGCCCTGGGGAGCAGGTCCCGACTCGCATGAGGACGTCTGTGCAGAACGCCTTGGCTTAGCCAGCGGGATCCCCTTGACTCGATCCCTTTGTGGCTGAGCCCCGTCTCTGCGCTGTGCAAGCACGCCCAGCTTCAGGCCCGAGGGGGGGGGGTGGCCTAAGTCTCCATGGTGACATCAACTGAGCTGCAGACTCTGACGGGGGCCGGCTCTTTAGGGGGAAGCCCGCCCCAGGCCCCTGCCGAGCTGGCCTTGCCCTGGTCTGGTGGCTCCCCGGCCTCTGGTGGCTCCCCTGGCCTCTGGAACCCACAGATGGGGCTGCGTGTGCCTCGCGTCCCAGGTTGACCAAGGGCCCTGCAGACTGACCTCTGCCTGTTACCCCCAGGCCCTGGCAGGGAGTGCTGTGACCTGCATGGTGCTCCCCTGCCAGGTCTCCACGTGCGGACAGGAGCAAGTTCGGAAGGGCTGCGTGGGACGGGCCCTGGGGCGTGTGACTGTGTGTGTGCAGGGCTGTGTGGGCTCCTGGGGGCTGTGTTGGTCCCTCTGTTGCTGCTTCTACTCCCTTTCCCTCTGCCCTGACGCTGGCACAGGAAATACTGCTTTGGGACCTCACACCCTCTCTCCCCAGCTGTTGGTCTGGCTTGGAGGTGGAGGGTGAGCCTCTGCTCTTGGGAGCGGGCTCCCAAGTCTGTTTGCAAATAGGGACTTCCCCACGCCACGGAGTCTCTGCCTCCTTCCTCGGTTATGGAGGGCTGGTTTCAGGTGCCCCCTCTTCTAGAGCCGAGGCCCGTCTTGGGTGGAGAGTGTCTTGCCCCTGCCTACCTGGAGGCACAGGGGTGGCTGCTGGTGGACTACGGTGGGCAGAGCCGGTTGCCTGCCCATCCCCCAGGAGCTCATGCAGGAGATGTCTGTGTCAGGGTTACACCCAGGCCCTCCCAGTGTCTTCCCTGCCCGCTCGGTGGATGGCAGCAGTAAGCAGAGCCCTGGGGAGGCTCGCAGGGCTGCTGTCCCTCTGGTCAGAAGGCTGGTTCTCAGAGCCTTCTGTGAGCGCCAGGGCCTGGCCTAGCCCCACATCCAGCAGCCCCGTCTGTGTCCTCCCAGACTCCGCCGTGGTCATGGAGGAGGGAAGTCCTGGCGAGGTTCCTGTGCCAGTGGAGCCCCCAGGATTGGAGGACTTTGAGGCGGCGCTAGGCGTGGACAGGCGCACAGACGCCTACAGCAGGGTGAGTGTGGCTCAGAGCCTAGACCCTCCTGAGCTGGGGGGTCTCCTTGTGGGAGGCAGGGCTCGGCGTGGGTGGGCCTGCACCCGGGGAACTGGCTCTGTGAACTTGGGCGAGATGATCTTCCACATCCTTTGTGCACAGACGGTCTGCACTTCCCAGCCGTCCACCTGGGCCGGCCCCTGGCTGCTGGGCAGCCTGTGGTCTCGGGATGCTGATACCTCGGCTCGCACAGTGTGGGGCACAGCTGGTGGTGGTGCTGCTGCTTCACGGGTGGGGACCGTAGCCTGGTGCTTGGGCTGCTCTGTGGCTCTGGGACAGAGGACAGATAGGGCCTCTCACCACCTCCAGGGCAACCCCAGGTAGGCTCGAGGGTGCCTCCTGATGGGATTCTCTTTGGGATGGTCCTTTCTAGTCGTCCTCAACCTCCAGCCAGGAGGAGAAGTCATTCCACGCAGAGGAGCTGGTTGCCGGGGGAATCCCCATTGAACGAGCCGTCTCCTCGGAGGGTGGCCGGCCCTCTGTGGACCTCTCCTTCCAGCCCTCACAGCCCCTGAGCAAGTCTAGCTCCTCTCCTGAGCTGCAGACCCTGCAGGACATCCTCGGGGACCCTGGGGACAAGGCTGACGTGGGCCGGCTGAGCCCTGAGGTTAAGGCCCGTTCACAGTCAGGGATCCTGGACGGGGAAAGTGCTGCCTGGCCAGCCTCGGGCGAAGACAGTCGGGGCCAGCCCGAGGGTCCCTTGCCTTCCAGCTCCCCCCGCTCACCCAGTGGCCTCCGGCCCCGCGGTTACACCATCTCCGACTCGGCCCCATCACGCAGGGGCAGGAGGGTAGAAAGGGATGCCTTTAAGAGCAGAGCCACAGCTTCCAATGCAGAGAAAGTGCCAGGCATCAACCCCAGGTGGGCCTCTTGCTTCCGGGCGGGGCTCCTGATACCATCCTGCAGGAACCTGGTGCCTCAGTTGCCCCAGGCCGAGCAGGCTGGGGAGGGTCCTCGCCTGTGCCCTAGGGCTGGCTGGAGCCCCTGGCAAGGCGGTGGAGTGGGAGATGGCCAGGTTCTGTGTTCCTCCCTGGGCTGTGGCTGCCCTGGCCAGGCCTTCACCTGGGTGCCCACTGTCTCCTCCCTGTGCAGTTTCGTGTTCCTGCAGCTCTACCATTCGCCTTTCTTTGGCGACGAGTCAAACAAGCCAATCCTGCTGCCCAATGAGGTAGGCGTGGCCTCCCTCTCCTGCAGTCTGCTGGAGCTTTGTGGCTCTGGGGAATGGTGGGGGGCCCAGCTCTGCTACTCAGAGCTGAAGCTTACAGGGGGCTCTAGCCTCGGCTCCCTGTGGCAGCCTGCTGTGACCAGCCTGGGTGGGGTGGCTTCCCATGGACAGGCATCTGGGGCTCAGACAGGGCTCTGTGTGCCATAGTCACAGTCCTTTGAGCGGTCGGTGCAGCTCCTCGACCAGATCCCATCATACGACACCCACAAGATCGCCGTCCTGTATGTGGGAGAAGGCCAGGTGAGGCTGCAGGGCGAACCTAGGTGCCTGGACAGGGCCAGCTGGGCCTCAGCCTGCAGGGGGTGGGAGTCTGGGCCCCCTACGCTCCGCGGAGCTCAACACTGCTGGGTACCCTAGAGCATGAAGTGCTCATTGAGCTCCATGCCACATGCTGCTCTGAGTGCTGAGGACCCAGACGCGAGTGACAGGTCAGCGTGTGAGCACCTGGCATGCCAAGGAGTCGGAAGGACTGGGCGGGTGGCACCGGTCGCGGGGCTGGGGAGGGTGCTATTGGTCAGTGAGCTGACAGCTGAGTGGTGAGGGAGAGGGCAGGGGGAGCCTGCATAAGGGGTAGGGGCATCCCGCACAGTAGCAGCAGGTGCAGAGGCCGGGGGCACCCTGCCCAGCCGGAGCATCTGTGCTGGGCGAGCACAGTAGCCGACAGGGTAGGCAGCCTCAGTGCCCTAGAGGCTGCACCTTCATCCCAAGGGAAAGGGCAGGGCCTGGGCTGCTTCTGACTCAGCCGAGTCTCAATGAGTCCCTCCTGCTGTGTGGCTCGTGGAGGTGGGTGGTGACGGTCTCTGTGGGAGCACGGTAGGCCCCAGGGGGCAGGCTGCTGAGGAGCCAGGGCCCCGGCTGTGCTTTGAGGGTGGAGCTCCCTGATTTTGCTGGCCAGGCATACACAGGGCTGAGGGAAGAGGGGGGGGTCAAGAATGACACCTGGTGTCTGGCCTGGGTGGCTGCTGGAATGAATGGTCCCGTCTGCCTCAGGGATCAGAGTGGGGCTCCCGGCAGAGCCCACTGGGCACCCCCACCCTCTGCGGGGCGGGGCCCGGCCCGGGAGTGATGCCACCTTGCCTCTCCTCTCTCCCCACAGAGCAACAGTGAGCTCGCCATCCTGTCCAATGAGCATGGCTCCTACAGGTACACGGAGTTCCTGACGGGCCTGGGCCGGCTCATCGAGCTCAAGGACTGCCAGCCAGACAAGGTGTACCTGGGCGGCCTGGACGTGTGTGGTGAGGACGGCCAGTTCACCTACTGCTGGCACGACGACATCATGCAAGGTGTGGCCTGACCCCCACCCACTCCTGCTGCCCCACGCCTCGGGGCACAGCTCCCATCTGGTCCTGTTGCCCCACGCCTCGGGGCATGGCCCCGGCATCCCCACCCGCTCCAGCTCCCCACGCTTCAGGGTCCGAGCTCAGCAGCATGGGCATGGAGGCAGTGATGGGGCTGGTGGCTTTGCTTCCCAAAGCCCTGCCCCTGGGGAAGGGCCGAGGGCCACTGGCTAGGCACCAGAGGACATGGCCCCCGCAGGCCCCCAGAACCCCTGGAGGAATCAGGAGGTGCCCCGGTGCAAGGCACAAAGGGCCTCAGCACTGGCCCCACAAACCCATCTGGCTCTGCTCACCCGCAGCCGTCTTCCACATCGCCACCCTGATGCCCACCAAGGACGTGGACAAGCATCGTTGCGACAAGAAGCGCCACCTGGGCAACGATTTCGTGTCCATTGTCTACAATGACTCTGGCGAGGACTTCAAGCTCGGCACCATCAAGGTGAGTGAGGGGCTGTCAGTGAGGCTGGGTCCCAGGCAGGTGCGCGCTACTGTGTCCTGGGTTGGTGGGGGGTCCTCCCTGAGCTTTGGTCACGAGGAGTATGAGGAGAGGCCGCAGTGCTCAGGGCCCCATGGGCATGAGCTTCAAGCCCTGAGCCTGAGTTGCATCATCTGTGCCAGGGAGCCTGTGGCCCCTGCTGCTGGGGTTTTGTCAGGAGTAACTGGCAAGTGCAGACTGGGTGTGCTGGGTGGGCACAGTATAGTTGGTGCTTCCTGTCTACCCGGCGCGGCCCTTGGGCCCCCAGTCTCCCCAGTGGCAGCTGTCAGGCCACTCGCTTGGTTACCGCCACGCACCACTAGGCAGCAACCAGCATCAGCCTCTTCTGGAGGTGGGCTCGGTCGGCCAGTGTCACAGAGCATGTCCTGGGTGCTCTGTCCAGTGAGCCCCAGCGTGGCAGGGAGAGCTGGCATGGCCCAGGCAGGGCAGGTGGGCTGGAGGCCTCACTCCAAGGGCCCCAGGACCCTGAGGCAGCCACTGAACCAAAACCCTGGGGCTGCTAGTCAGAGTCCAGGAGGAGCAGGAGCATAGCGAAGGCAGGCCCAGCCAGACGCCAAGACGATCAATGGGGGACATCCCAGAAGCTGAGGAGGGTGTGGTGGTGCTGAGATGGGGTACACGGCACACTTCATGGCTGGGCAGACGGATTTGGACGTATGCAGACACCTTGGGGGCCCTAGCAAGTAGAGGTGCCCCGCTGTGGCTGCAGCAAATGTGGGTGCTGGGCCCAGGTGTGGAGGGGGCTTGGCCTGTGGGAGGCCAAACACAGCCCCGCTGCCGGAGGGGAAAGTTCAGGGGCAGATGCTGCCCATGGAGCCAACAAGCGTCTAGCAGTGCAGCCAGGCAGTGGCTGAGAGCAGCCCTCAGCACACGGTGTGTGCGGGGATGACCCCTTCTCTTGTCCGGGCAGGGCCAGTTCAACTTTGTCCACGTGATCATCACCCCGCTGGATTATGAGTGCAACCTGGTGTCCCTGCAGTGCAGGAAAGGTGGGGCCAGGGTGGGGCCGGTGTCCCTGCAGTGCAGGAAAGGTAGGGTTGGGGTGGGACTGGGCAGGGTGGCGCCAAGGGCCCTGGGCCTGGCATGACCACCAAGTCTCCCCAGACATGGAGGGCCTTGTGGACACCAGCGTGGCCAAGATCGTGTCTGACCGCAACCTGCCTTTTGTGGCCCGTCAGATGGCCCTGCATGCAAACGTGAGTGGGGGCAGGTCCAGGCGTGAGCTGGTGGGACAGGCCCAAGTGCCACCTGAGAGTGAGCTCACCCCTGCCTACGTCCCTAGATGGCCTCACAGGTGCACCACAGCCGCTCCAACCCCACCGACATCTACCCCTCCAAGTGGATTGCCCGGCTCCGCCACATCAAGAGACTCCGCCAGCGGGTAGGGAAGATGGGGCTGCCCAGGCTGTGGGGCGGGCGGCTGGGCAGAGCGGGTGCCACGCCTCCTGGACTTGCTGCCCAAGCTGCCTCTGCCTTCAGATCTGCGAGGAAGCCGCCTACTCCAACCCCAGCCTGCCTCTGGTGCACCCCCCATCCCATACCAAAGGGCCTGCACAGACTCCAGCCGAGCCCACGCCTGGCTACGAGATGGGCCAGCGGAAGCGCCTCATCTCCTCTGTGGAGGACTTCACCGAGTTCGTGTGAGGCTGGGGCCCTCCCTGCTGCGCCCGCCCTGGACGCTATTTTGTGTCAGTGAAATAAAGTCCTGGCGCTGATGCACAGACAGAGGCACAGGCTGCAGTCAGACAGCGCTTTTATTGACTTTGTCTGCTTGGTGCGGGGGTTGGGTGGGGGGAGGTTGAGGCTCTAGCAGCAGCCGTGCCCGCAGAACTGGTACACAAAAGCAGGCGCAGCCAACTCCGAGGGCCCTGGGGCTGCCCGGGCCACACAGCACACGCGCGCACACACGCTCACCTTCCTCCACCCTGGGAGCCAGCCACCGGGGGAGTCTTTTTCTCTACCCACCCTGGGGTCCTCTGACAGGCCTCGTCCTGCTTCTCGCCCAGACCCGATGCCAGCAGGCCTGGGCGCTGCTCTCTCGCTACCTGGCCTAGGGCAAGAAGGATGACAAAGCCTCTGGGGTGATGAGAGTGCCTGGGGGACAGCTGTGCCCCCAGCACTGGCCCAGGGCCATGGTCGCATCCAAGCAGCAGCTGGGCTGCTGTAGCCCCGCCACACCTACCAAGGTGTTGGGGAGGCCAGCTCTGGGCACAGGGCCCAGTTTCAGCTGCCAGGCCCCTCAGCCCTAGTGAAAATAGTGACGTACAAAAATATATACATTTTAACACCATATAAATTACTGACACGAGACACAGTGAGACGATGCGGGGAGTACGGTAGGAACGAGAGGTAATAACTTAGGGGCAGGGTGGCGGCGGCGCAGGCTAACCCTCCCTGAAGCCAGCAGCCTTAGCGATGGGGGACATCTGCCCAGGGGGTGGGGCCGGGCACAGCCCGCTGTACCTGAGGACTCGGGCAAATAAATTAGCATCTCAGAGGCTAGAAAACATCCAATACTGCTGTGTCCTCCCCCAGGGAGCTGGGGAGGGGACCCTGGGTCCTGGTTGGACACACAGCCTCTTTAAAGTGCTGAAGCCCACAGGCAGACAGACACCCCTGCCTGCTCTCTGGGGAACCTGCGTGCAGCCATTCTGCCTGGCCCGAGGCCTTGAGGGTGGCAGAAGGTAATACTGAGCGGTGTCCACTCTGACTCCACAGCCCATCCCCACCAGGGAACGGGCCTAAGTGCTGCTGGGGTGGACCTTGTTCTTGACCCACAGAGGTGTCCTGCTGGGGCCAGTGGCCAGGTCCACACCTCGACTGGCCCGGACCAGGCGGCTGGGCAGTGCTGGCCGCAGGCCCGGGGATGGGCCACGGGAAGGTCCGGCGGGGGCCCGGCTGCTCCTGCGGCCTTGCAGGCTGTGCAGCTGCTGCTCCAGCTGGTAGACGTCCTCTGTGGCCTGGTTGAGTCGGTCAAACTGGGTGAGCAGGGCCTCAAACACGGCTTGGAGGCGGGAGGGCTCGGGCTCACTCCTCGTCCCCAGCCGGCCCAGGCTCACACTCAGCCCATCCAGCTGGCTGGAGGAGGTGGAGGGGTGCGACGCATCAGAGCCAGCGCTGGGTGGGGGCACATCCGGGGATACCTTGGAGCCCCTGGAGGAGCGAGAGGGCAGCGGTTCCATCCCTTCAAAGCGGACTTTGTGGCGGAACTGGGGGCGGCACAGGGGCTCAGTCAGTCCGGCTGCACCCTGGGCAGAGCCCAGGGCGTGTCCCTCTCCCCCCCACTGGGCCGTACCCACCTCCTTGACCTTGCTGAGGCCCATCCAGAGGCGCAGCCTGCGCAGGAACAGCTCCACCATCTCGTAGTCCTGGGGCTCCCAGGCCGGCCGATACAGCTCTCCACGCAGGGCGTGGTAGCGCCACCGGAGGATGACAGCCCCCAGCCGTAGGGCGCCCCACAGCCGCAGCGCCCAGAGCCCCACACACAGCAGTGGTGACAGGTGCCAGGACTCGGCAGGACACAGGGTAGAGAGCCCGGTCCCAGAGCACAGCACCAGCAAGGCCTGGGCCACACTCCAGAGAGAGTCCACGCAGGAGGACACGAGCTGCGGGGAAGGCGGCATCAGTGAGGGCGTGCAGCTGAGCTGAGCTAAGGGGCTCTCCCCGGCCGCGCAGTCACCTACCAGAACGGCCAGCTGGGCGTAGGCTACCCCGAGCACCACCAGGCCCAAGGTGGCCCCCAGGAGCTCAGGCAGAGCCCGGAATAACGTCTTTCCAAAGACGGACCACTGGCGCACGAAGCGTAGCTGCTGAGCGGCCTGCGGACAAGGGGACATCAGCTTGCAGACCTGGGGTCTGCGCCCAGCCCCGCGCCCACCGGCCCCGCCCTTACCTTGACCAAGAGCAGGAAAAGCAGCGAGGCCGCCAGGCCACGGGCTGCAGAGCTCAGCTGCGCCACCTGGTCGAAGCTGGTGAAGCGGCGTGGGCGGCCGCGCACGAAGCGGGTCCACTGGCGGTCGGCGGCGCCCAGCTGGGCGAGGCGTACCAGCGCCGTGGCCGCCGTCAGCACCACCAGTAGCCACCGTGCCCAGGCCCTGGGTCGCAACACATGCCAGCACCCTTCCCTGTGCCAAGTACGGGCCTCGGCCACGGCGAAGTGCAGCGCGAACAGCAACAGGCACACCTGTGAGGGGCGGGGTCAGGAGGGTGGGCGGGGTCCTGCGAGGGGTGGGACGCTGCCGGGGGCGTGGTCCTGCGAGGAGTGGGACGCTGCCGGGGGCGTGGTCCTGCGAGGGGTGGGACGCTGCCGGGCTGGGGTCCTGCGAGGGGTGGGACGCTGCCGGGGGCGTGGCCCTGCGAGGGGTGGGACGCTGCCGGGGTGGGGTCCTGCGAGGGGTGGGACGCTGCCGGGGTGGGGTCCTGCGAGGGGTGGGACGCTGCCGGGGCGGGGTCCTGCGAGGGGTGGGGCGCTGCCGAGGGCGTGGCCCTGCGAGGGGTGGGGCGCTGCCGGTGGGAGGACCGGGGTCTGACCGGGGGCGGGCGTACCGAGGTGAGCAGAGGCAGCGAGAGGCCCGCGCTGAGGCGGCGCAGCGCGAAGGGGCGGACGCTGAGAGCGGCCAGGGCGCGGCCGGCCGCCGGAAACTCGAGGCGCAGCGTGACGGCGGCGTGCAGCCCCACGGCCGGGCTGTAGCGCGTGAGCTCCACGAACACAGCGCGGCTCCTGCGCAGAGGGTGCGGGTCACTAGGAGAAGGTGGCAGGGCGGAAGCTTTGGGGACCACGCAGTACAGGCGTGGCTGAGGGGCTGTGGAAGCCTCCTAGGCCAGCGGGGGCCTGAGGGGTAAGGGTGGGCTCTTGGCTGGTGACTGCAGCCACCCTGGAGAGGGCAGGGGAGGGAGCTCCCACCTGTTGTCCAGCCAGTTGTGCAGCTGCAGGAATCGCAGCCGGTCGCGGCTCTCCTCCAGGCTCAGGCCCAGCTCCTGCACGTAGCCGCCGCTGTCATACACTGCACAGGAGCCCCAGGACCATGCCCTGCCGGAGAGGGGTGGCGTTGGTGCCACACCCCAGCCCTTCCGGCACCCCTGAGCCAGGCTGGTCAAGAGGCCAGAGCACTCCTGGAGAACTACTCCCTTGTCCTCGGCACAGACGCCTGGGGCCCTCGCTCTGCTCACCCCAGCAGATCCGGTGCAGAGTAAGCCCATGTCCCCGAGCCATTGTGAGGACTCTCCCAGCCAACGTCGTAGTCGCTCGTGCTGAAGCCTCCCGCAGCTGAACAAGTGTGGACCCTGGGGCCGGGAGGGTCTGGGCAGAGTGCTGAAACACAGAGTCCCGGGCCGGGACCAGGGCGTCAGCAAAACCCAATAGGCGTGCTTCCTGCTGGCCAGCTCGCCTGAGCTCTGGTTCCGCACCACCCCAGAGAACCCTCCCAGCAGCCATGAATTAGACAATGTTACCATCTCTACTATACAGAGAAGGAAACTGCGGTGTCAAGAGAGCAAAGGTCACACAGCTAGGGAGCAGAGCTGATGCCAGAGTTCCGCTGAAGGCCGCTCTCTGGACAAGAGGAAGGATTTAAGTCTTGGGGCACCCCCTGCCAGCTCACCTTCCTGCAGCCGCACCTGCCGCAGCCGTGGAGGCCCCAGCTCTGGGCTGGACTGGTTCCCGTGGACATAGGGCAGCAGCACGTGCGCCATCCATGGCCAGAGCTCCTCAGACCTGCCACAGCACCAGACACAGTCACGTGCTCCAGCCCCCACTGCCCTATGCCCGCCTGGAGTGAGTGGCCACTACAGACCCAGGGAATATGGCTCCCACTTCCCTGCTGGCCACGGCTAGACCTGGGCTCCTCAGCCTTATCCTGGGGACGTGCTGGGGCAGAGAGTTCTCTGTCATGGTCCCATCCTGTGCACTGCAGGGCACGGAGCTGTTTCCCTTGCCTCTGCCCACTGATGCCAGCAGCACCAACCTCCAGTTCTGGCAACCAAAAAGGTATCTACATATTTCCACATGTCCCCTTGGATCTAGCTGGACTAAGGGCAAAACCAAAGCCCAGGAGACAGACCAGTACACCAGGTGCCCATACCGTGTGATGGCCAGGAAGGTCCGGCTGTGGAGTTCCTGCTTGATGGCGCTCTGCAGACGGTAGGCGTGCCCATGGCACGAGGCATCCCCATAGCTGGCCAGCAGCGTCACCAGCAGAAAAAGCATGTACACCAGGAGGCTCTGGTGGACAGAGGGCCCTGTGGTCAGCCTGGCCCCAGCCCAGTGACAGCAGGGCTTTGGCCACAGCTGGGGCCCCCACAGCTACGGCAGGTGCAGCTGCAGAAAGGTGAGCTGGCAGGGGGCGCCCCAAGACTTTACCTGGCTAAGTAACGGCAGCACATACCCTGCCCAGGACCCCACCTGGGGGCAGACACACAGGCCACTGCAGCGGTGCTTAGGGGCCTTCAGGGCGAGACAGGAGTGGGCATTGGAGCTGGGCCCTGGCAGGGACTGCAGCAGCAAGTGGAGGGCATAGGGTAGGAGGGAGTCCTGGCAGAGGCTGCAGAGCCTTGAACCCCCAAGGGCCTTCTGGGTGAGGAAAGGGGGACGACAGTGTCCCGCATACATGGGTGGGAGGTGGGAGAAAGGAGGTGGAGGTGGCACAGGCCGCACCCGGGCTCACCCGCAGCATGCCGTGTAGCCTCTTGACCTTTCGGGCTTCCTCCTTGGCCAGGAAGAGTGCAAAGCCGTGGG